GCTTAAGATAATATCAGGCACCAAGCCGCAAGGAGACAGGTTGGAAATTAAAGGGAAAAAGTCAAAAGGCAAGCCTAATTAAATTACAAGCATTTCGTTGTTGCCTTTATGTCTAACCTGAATGCCCCCCACTTCATAAAGCAATTAAAATCATTGCCAAATATTGACACAGGGGAGGGAACTTAAATTTGAACTTTAACAAGATTGGTGGGCAAAGTTTGGGTCCTTACCGTAAGGCGTAAACACACAGAGACGCCTTTACAAACATACACACAAGTGCGGGTTACTGTAGACACACACACAGATACATACTTGTACATATTTATATTTAACAACTGGCAAGTTTTTCCATGACTTTTAATGAAGTTGTCATTAAGAGGCAAATTATACCAGAAACACGCCCGAAATTTCAACACAACTGTCAGCAGGTCAACAGTGCTTCTGATTTATTTTGCAATTCGCGGCCTTGTACTTAAGTATTAGAAGAGCTTGAGTGGCGACAAGGCGCCATGTCTAAATTACATGTCTCTCTGTCTAGATATGGGTCTTTGCGTGTCTACATGTGTATTACGCACTAGCTTACACGTTATTAATGTTAATTACTTGTGTAGTAGCACAGCTCTTTATCCCTTTAAGCCGCAAAACACTTTCAAGCTTGGCAACAAACTTCAAGTGTAATTTCAGTTAATTTTTTTGTATTTCAGCACACAGAAATATACATACATTAGAGCATAGAGATATACACATACTCGTACATAATTGAACAAGGGTGTGGACGTGCGACAAATGGCTAAATGCTGCTCAACAACTTAGACTTGGGCATCTATACACCCAGAACAATTTTTTCTTGCATTCTTTTCGTGCCTGTGCTATTTGATTAATTAGTGATGAGTTGGCTCACTTATCCTGAAATAATAATTAAAGAGTTACATCGTGATGCCGATTCGTGGACAGCGCTAACTAAGCACCGTTTGAGTAACAAAAGTTCCAGCAAAAGTCACTGTTAAGGCTGTTTCTATTCATCACCTCTTATGCCGGAGAAGAGTGGTCTCCAGTATTGGTACTATTTAGATATTTTTTGTTAATAGTTTAATTCCTTAAAAGCGTTCAAAACCATTTCGAAAAATTAGAATCGTCTCTCAGTCGGTACCACTATATCTGTCACGTATAGTAAATGGCATTCGGCATTGCCCTTGGCTGAAGGAAGGAGATTGTAAAAAAGAAATTTGAGTCACGTTGCCAAACAATTTAGGTAATTTTTTTCTGTGTACTTATATACGGATACATATTAGGTGTGAGAGTGCGTGTGTGCTTGTATTCGTGAGCCTAATTGTATGCAGTAATTTATGTTAAAAGTTTGGAAAATTTCTCATTTCATGCGCCATTTGGTAGGCAACACTTTCCGTGTTATTAGAAAATTCCACCAGGTATTTGGTATACAAGTATAGTAAGTATATATGTATATACGCCAGCAAGTGAATCAAAAGATTTATGCCAACCATTTGAGTACCAAAACATCACCGAGGGAAGACAGCCCAAATTCCACCTCGCCTTGTGTGCGCTATTTATAGTTAAATTTTCAAGGTGCTGTTGACTTTAGTTTACTTAAAATTTGACTTACCTTTAATAAATGCGAGGCATTTAGTTGGTAAGCCGGTCTAAACAACGTTTTCCAATGTTCTGTGGCGAATATATGGAGAAATTCCTGTTCAAATTCACGAATTTTTGTAGCTGTTGTTATTTTTCTCTGATTTTTTAATACTTTCACAGACGCGGCTGTAGATATGAGAGGTGTTGTATTTATGCAGGTTTGCTTTTAATTTTGTAAATGTTCAATACAGTTCTTTTGCAAACAATAGCTAGATATTATTGTAATCGTTTTTATTGTTATTTTCGCACTTTTCAATGTAGTTAATGTAAACAATGTGGCTTTTGATTTCGAATCGAAAATATTGCATGAAATGAGACTTTGATGTCTAATGACTCGATTTTCCGTTCATTCTTTCAGCGTCAGTATTTTATCGTCAGTTTTTTGCTATTTGGAGTAAATTGGCTTCATGAATGGTTTTCTATCGCTGTGTGCTTAAAATAATGATTTTTACTTGCAGGAACTAAATATATCCGTGCCAGGCGGACCTTGCTTTAAAAAAAACATACAAAATGCCGATTCATCTCATCATGATGCACATATGTATGTCTATAAGTTCAAAATTATATTGATTTTACTTGCAATTGTATTAAAAAAGTTCACTCTATTCTGCATGGTGCTTAATTAAAGTTTTTCCGCATATGGAAACCAAACATTCAAATATACTATAGTATGTACATAAATACATATTGCTCTTTTCCTTCCCTTTACGCTCAAGTGTCTTGTGAAATGCAAGAACATTTCAATTGAAGTGCTTGAAAATAAGGCCAACAAAACAAAAATTCCAAATGATGTGCGGGGGCACGAGGCCATAGGCAATGACCCGGAAATTTTTACCAAAATATTTATCTTACTTTGGAAGCCGCTTTTAAGTGTTTTTTCGCTATACCTGATGAAAGTACATACATATTATATGTATGTGAACATTCATAAAGACAAGTTCTAGTTATTTTTGCTGTTCCGTGTGCCTGCAATTTGTTTCGTTACAACAAATGTAAACAAAATCGTATACATTTCGTGTTTCCTTTTTATTTGCTGTTTCGCTTACAACTTTGAACATTAACTAAATTTCCTTCGAGTATGTACTCGTACATAGGCAAGAAATATATGAACTTAAGAGACTAACTACATACATATGTATGTATGTACATCTAGTTAATGAGCACATAAAGGCATTTATTGAGTGGCCATTCAAAGAATAAAAACACAAATTAAACAAATAAACAAGCTGTTGATGGCAATAATTTACAACAAAACATTTATGAGATTTTTTTATATACTCCTACGTATATGTGTTCCAATTGTTGCTGTTGTTGCTCTAAGCGCATCAATTTATGGTTGAATATAAATTTCGATACGAAACAATTGTGAGAATGCCAATTTATAACAGTAGTAATCACAATCCGTAAAATTATGGCAAATGAAAATGAACAACAATAAATCCCAATACAAATATATTCCAAACGCTGCAAACGACAGACAGCAGACACATTGCCTCTCACCCTGCCCTAAAGTAGAAGTCGCATTACATTTATTTTTTATGCAAATAATCAAATCAAATCGTTACGTGAGCGTCTGGTTTTACAGTAACTTAGAGGGGAGAGATATCGCAGAACTCGAGACATGTTTGCACATCAAGATCAACAAAACGGAAGGGGTAACCTTGTAGAACAGTGCATTTCTCAGTAGATGGTTCAAACGGGTGAAAAATGCTGCTGGATGCTGTGACGAGCGGAATAAACAAAACAGTCGAGGAAAGAGCACTCAAAATCACACACACACACACACACGTTCATATATAAAATATACAGGCGCTCTGAGAGACTGCACGATTATACTATGTTAACATTTTTAATGTAAGCCAAACAAATCACAGAAATAAATGCTGCATGGCTGGTTGTTTGCTACAAAAATAAACCATATACTATTCTATATACATATGTGCATACGTATGTATATATGTAGATATTAACGAGAAGGAAAAAGTAAAAGCACAATAAATATTCAAAATGTTTATTTAATTAAAGACTTTTCAATTGTTCTCATGTTCACAAAAAACCACATGGCGCCATGGTCAAGCCTGGCAACTGAGTATTATACTTTTTGCATACAGATGCAGATGTAAAGATAATGCAAATTGCCCAGCTTTACTAATTCTGATAATATAATTATAATGCATATTTCTACGTAATATTGTTACACTCGTACTTCGTTATTTTATTATGAACTTCCTTGCAGTTTAATTTGCGCCAAGCACAACACACTTTTACTTGTACAAAGCAACAAAAACACACGGAAACACTTTAAAAGCGCGTTTTTGCATCGCATACAATATTTTTAATTAGTTAAAATAAATTTATGTACAAAAAATGCGTCGCAAGCGCAAAATACACCGAACACGTTGAACAATTAAGAACGAATGCGACGCCGACCCTACAGCTCTTTGCAATCAACAGCTGTTGATCCGCAGCCGAAGAGAGCCCACAAGTTATGGTAAGAGTACAACCGCTAAAACACGAACTCTCTCGGAGCAGTGTTGCCCCTATTTAGAAAAATTCGGAATATGTATTTAACTGTTTCTTTTTGAATTTCACTTTCAGCCTTCAAGTTAAATTAATTTCTTCAAGATTCCATATCACTCTTTTATACAAAAGCATATGCTGCACATATAAATTATTTCTGAAATTTAGTTGGTCAAAGGCTGACCTCGATGTGATGTAGGCAATGTTTTATTTTATTCGTTTTTGCTTCTACAATTTGAAACACGAACACGGAATTCGATTATTTTTTATGAGCACAATGCAGTTGCATTTGAAGATGTTGAACAGCCGACACCAGCCAAGCGTCTTGCCACGTCTAAGCATTACCACAGTCCGAACGTGACTGAGTGCCAAAATTAGGAATCACCCTTTAAATACAAGTTGGAAGCTTCGGTTTTGAGGGGGAAAGTTGGTCTGCGCAGGCGCAAAAACCGAAATTGGTGTCACTGTCACTCGTTGCTCCAGGGTGAGAGTGTCCTGCTTCCTTTAAAACTTCAAAGGAAACTCCGGAACAGTCAATTTCCCGCATCGACAGTTATTGGAGCACTCACAATATTGAATCGGTATCGGCACCAATTTGTCAGTGGGTCAGAGTTTTATTTACATATAAGCTCGTACGTATACCTTTGAAGCACGTGGCTTTGCGCAACAGGGGGTGTGTGCATATATATGTGTGTGTGTGTGGTAGTTTATCTACCATGACCTATCACAACCGCCAAAATGTTGACCTCATACTTTTATGGGCAGTCCAAGTCAACAAAAAAATACTATTGATTTTATAATAGTAGTTGCATAAGCTGCAATTCCCATTTGCATATATTTATGAATAACTTACACATACCTATTTAAGAAATTCAAAACAAATTCTTAAATTTCAACATAAAATGCCCTAACTTATATACCATTGTCTCAGTCTTTAACTTAATTCATTGCGTAAACGTCGCTCACGTTTTCTTTCACGCACCTTCTCACGTTGCATATCGTTACGAGTACGTCTCTGCTCCCGCGGAACAGGATTCCGGCGCTTTGTTGCATTTGTATCGAATGCCGAGAAGTGTGTTACGCGCGCAGGAGATTGCTCAATGCCTAAGCCGTTCCGCTCTTTGCGCAAGACCGTCTTTATAGGATATAGACGTCCATTTTGCTGGGGCCCCAAACCGTGTTCGCGATCCCAGCCCTGCTTTACCATTATGCGCAGGCCACGATTCTTCGTGGATATATTGAATTTTTGCAGTTTGTTAAAAATAGCCGGATTAGCATTGAACTGGTGCACAGTAGAGGTCTGATGAGCTCGCCACGTGGATTCACAGTAACTCCTTTGGCAAATATCACAGTAGAAGGGCGTCACAGATGCTTCAGAGGCTTCAGATGCAACTTCCTCATCTTCCATTTCTAAATCATTGCGCTCCTTCTCTAGTAGTTCTACTATGGCTGCGTGTCCCTTTCGTCTAGCCAGCGTTAATGCTGTGTGGCCACTTTTGTCAGCTACTCCGATGTCCGCGCCCATTTCAAGCAACCATGCAGCGATTGTGTCCGCGCCCTCACACGCGGCCATCATTAAAGCCGTCCAGCCGTAACTATCCTGTACATTTAGCTCTGCACTGCTGATGCTCATCTTAGACAGCTCCTCTAGATTGCTGTTGGCCGTTGCTAGGCGGAAAAATTTATTCTTGTCGAAGGGTAGCTGCGGCGACGCTTTCGCTCTCGTTGTGCTTACCGATTGAGGTTTTGGCCGACTCCGACTTGTTGCAGGACTCTCCAGAACTTCCTGGTAAAACTTTTGCACCTCTTCACCATTGACACCGTCTATTTCGTATTTTTGCTGAATACTTTTGGGCTCCTGTCCATTTTCGGCTGCGTGGGTGAAGCGTATAAACGGAATATGGACTTTGGCCAAGCCCTGCCAGTTTGGATGCAACCGCTCACCACTGGAGTCCATTAGCTCGCAATTAAGTTGTCAACTGCAATGTAAATACACAAATGTTAACAAAATGTGATGCTTGTTATTTTAGCTAACCAGTGCTGTACCAACCGAATTTATTATCGGGCTACCGGAGGTTGCACTGAAGTGAGATTTTAACTACTGTTACAATTAGGCGCATAACTTACTTTCTTATTATTCTTAATTAAAATATGGTGCTATGTTATGAATTACAGATAAAACAATATTAGTTTTATGTCGACTTGTAAGCACTGTATGTCAGCTGGGCTGGAATAAAAATTTCTTTCATTTATCAACACTGTATTCGCAACAGAGTTTGCCACGCAAATCAGCTGTTGAGTCAATGGACCAAAAATATAAAATTTGTTTATTTGGATAAATAATAGAATTTAACCTTCAGGAGGCAGCAGTGTCTGCCTGTAAGTTCTGTTAATTCCTATATCATGAATGTGGATGAAGTAGATGATTATATTCATGAAAAATTTCATCGAGGAAGAGGAAAATGCGGCAAGCTTTAAAAATTTATTTTTAGTCCGGGCAATATTTAAAATCGTTTGCTTTTATTTCCAACAGGAATATACGCTCGCGAATCAGATGTCTACGTCGTGGTGAAACAAAAAATCACTGCTGCCCACAGTCCACCTGTTACCACCGTGCTGGCTCAAAGCATGGACTCGGTTCACATAAAACATGATATTTGGTTTCACATATCCATGTATATTGCCCCTGAAGACGTCCAGTCCTTCGCTCTGATTTGCAAGCAGACAGCCAAGTTAGTCAATACACGAGCATTCTGGCGCAATTTGTACACCCGATACTGCCTTTCTGCTACGGGAACAGCCTGGAATCTGGAGCTACCCACTCAACTCCAGCTGGACCAGCTCCGTAACTGTGATACTAAAGCTTTGCGGTCGCTTGTTGTCGAATCACTCTATCATTGCTACCGCCCCTTAAAAGAGCGCATGGATCTAGGCTATAGCCTCGATTGGTTGCTGCAACGTCAGTTTATGTCCTGCTGGCAAATACAGTACCAATGTCTGTGGATTGTGTGTTACAAGTTGTGGAATCAAGAGACGAGACTTGAGGAAATCCCTCTGGAGCAAAATGTGGCTGCGGATATTGTGAGCGATTGGGAAACTCTTGTAGATAATTCTGAGCCCATTGTTAAAACTACTGGCAATTTGAACGAAGGTGTTGTTCTATTAATTGTTTTATGCCGCCAATTTGTGCCCATACCAGCACAGCTTTCTTACAGTTCCCATCAAGCTCGTTACTTTCTAAAGGCAACCCGTGAGCTACTTTCCACCGATATGCGTGCCACAAACCTGGAACTGGACTTTGCCGAAGGCGGCACCAGCAATAACTTCAATAGTAACGTGACTGTGAAATACACGAAAATAGCCAAGTACAGAGTTCTGCCCTGGTGGCATCCAGACTTTAAAAGATTTGTCAAATGATAATATGGTCCAGATTTATGTGAAAATTACAGTTTTAAGACGCAAAACGTTATACAAATTCAGAAAATGTAACATACCCGCTACATTAGCTGGCTAATTCTAATTTATGTAAATAAATTCACTTTTTCAATTTTCCGATTTGCTTTTATACTTTATGCACTAAGGGTAAAATTAATTAAGTATGTAAAACATGTAAAACACTGAAGAAGGCGTGGCAGACCAGTCGAGTCGGTATAGTCATGTCCGTCCGAATGCAACATGCATTTACGATCAATCGAATCTGAACGTGTGAACACCGAAATCACATAAACTTAAGACAACGATATATCTAACTATATTCGGAAACGGATGAAGGGTATACAAGAGTCTGGTGAACGAAACTCTTAACGCTCATTATTCTTACACTTTTATTGCTTTTAAGTCCATTTGCGATTTCTCTCCTCATGGTTAGCTGCTTATTAAGTTCAAGACGTCCGTGCTCTGTCATAATTATAGCAAATAAAATTGTGCATTTATATGGGAATAATATTTGTTGGTTCACTTACAACTTTTAACAATTCTCTATGGTGGGAGGAGTTTCATGGTAATTGTTATCTAGGCGTATGTATCATCATGTTCTCACGATTGTTATCTCTTATCTCGACTACTCACTACACTGTGATTGACAAGTAGCGACATATGTTTATGGCTAGAAACTACTGAATATAAATTCTTGTAACTGCAGATAAACGGACACAGAGGTATTTCATTTATCGATGGTGTATATTTATATGTATGTATGTATATATTTGCGACGCATAGTAAAACAAATCTAATGAGGAAAATAATCACATTTGCGTACATAAAAATCGAATGTCATTGTCATATTATTAATAATACAAAGATCAAAACTGGAAGAATATTATGCATATATGTATGTATGTATGTACACTTTTATCTTAACTATATGTATAATTGCATGTACAACATATGTAAAAACGTTCATAGGTGGTCGTTGTAAATAGCGAATACCAATAGCTGTTGTTCATATGTATGTAGTCGTCGGTGTGCTTGTCTCAGTTGCTTTTGTGATTAAAACTATAAACAATAAAATCCCCATAAAATTGTAGCCGTAATCACACCTTTCCGAGCAGATCGTGTCCGTAAGGCTTCTTGCGGTAGCCCTTGAATGCGAATAGCTTGAACGCAATGACCATCATCACTATGCAGAAGCCATATAGGAGCATTCCCATGCGCATGTCGATGTCCGAGAACACGTTAGCGATTTGACGTTTCTGCCTCAGCTTTTCCGCCGTGGCATGCAACAGTTCCTCACGTTGCAGGCCGTATCGGCTGATGAACTCCGGATTGTATATGTTGTTCAGGAATCCTAGCACAGCATCCTTATTCCAACTGATGTCTAGGTGGGAAGTTGTCGAGCTGGGACCGCGATAGCATTGCGCGCAACTACTGCGAGTGGGAAATTGAGTTTTTGGAAATTCAGGATCCTCTGTGGAATCGCCTGCCAGTCGTTGATTTACTTCGTTGTGGGCTTGCCAGAGCCAGAGTATTGCCTCCTCTTTACTTGGCACGCTCCAGATTTTGCGACGCGAGGCCATTGCCTAGAATCAAAAACAAAAACAAGAGCACGCGTTACAGAAGTATAGCTGTGGGTTGTTGGAACAGCTGCTGAGACAGCGCAACGTTCCGGTTTTCTAAATAGTAAATACAAATGTATGTATGCACATACTTGTTCATACATTCATACATACATATGTTTGTATGTATATATGTATTTTTTATTGCAAGAAGGGGTAAATAAACCGAATATGGCACAAACCCAGACCTATAAGAGGGCTGATTGAAATGTTGTGGCTGTAGAAAAATGTTGAGTCTACAAAAGTTAATACTTTGAGAATGTTTTGACATTATCATACTGTTGTTATCACTGTTGTTTGTGATGTTAAAGAATCTACGGAAACCGATTGATTAAAAAATGCTGTACTGTATGTTTTATCTGAAAAAATTGCAAGCAACGAAAAGTTTGCTGTTCAATCAGGTTCGGCTCTTACTTGTATATTAAAATTATGATCTTTTTCGCCCACTCTTTTCAGAAGTATGTTTTTTATCCCCGTTGTTTTTTATAGACTATTGTACTTATTCTTTCTATGACAGCTATATAACATAGTTTACCTCAGATTATGATGTCGAAATGAACAAGCATCGATTTTAATATTACTGCAGATTATGGAGTGACATTTTTGTTTCCGGTACGAAATTTGATGGTCGCGCTAATCATTCCTATGTTTTAACCTAAATAGGATCTATGAAACCACATAGTTTTGACTTTCAATGTCATGTTTTTGCAAATGTAACAATCGATCCAGCACAAGTCAAGGCAAATATCGAAAATATATAAACGCTCCGCTCCATTGAACTTAGTTTATACTTGTACTTGCGCTATTTTGCAATTCATGTAGATATGTGTGTACATAAATAAATATCTGGTCAGTAAAGTAACAGACGCGAAATAGGCAATACTTATAAGGCTGATTGCGTAATTGAAATGAGCAAAATGAAAAGTTTTGGAACAAAACAAGTTTATGTGTTGCCTTTGTTTTGCTCTGAAAATAGCTCCGAATTCGTATTATTATCAGCCTCCGTGAGCTATTAGCAATTGAGGGTCGCACTGATGTCAGAAATGTGAAAGCCCCGGCGTGAAAATAGTCACAATGCAAACCATTAGCACGTAGCAAAAGCACCCGAGATCTGCCAACGTCTGTCCCCAGCCCCCACAGTCTTTCCTTAATTCAACGATAACCGGTTTTTGAATGGGTCTAGTAGAATTCATGACTCACCTGAAAATGTTCGGCACAATCGGTGCAACCGAAGAAGCCCTTGATGTACCCATGCATGGCTTGCAACACTTCGAGGGGATCTTGTGATTGATCGTTCTGGGCCGCTTGCACCGTCATATAATGGAAGAGCGTCCAGAGCGAGCAGCTAAAGCCGCGGTAATGCTGTTGAGAGCCAGCGCAGCCGATAAACTGAGTGGATGAGTATATGGGGGAATACTGGTGTTCCAGACGCTGCAGTTCTTGTTCGAACTGTTTGCCTGTAATCTGCTGATTAAACTGCACCACAAAGCTACTGAGTTTGGCCACCAGTTCTTGGCCATTGGCGCCCAAGGGATTGTAGCGCTGTAGTACTGCCAAAAAACGTTGCAGCGCCAGCAGACGCTCACCACTAATCTCGTTAATCTTGGGCACTTCGTTGTGCAACACGGTGCGTATGGCCTGCTCCAAATCGGCCTGGTAAACAAAATGTTTGTTCCTATGCACTTCATCAATAATTTTCTTGTGCTCGGCTCCGAATTCATTTAACTTTTCACTGCTTGTCGAGTGTGCGGTTTCAATTAGCTCTGGTCTCGGCGTAAAATGATGTGCCCTCAGAAAATCTTCAATGGTCTTGGAATAGGAGTCACTAGTTTCCTCCGATGGCGCAAAAGGTGTTGCGTTTCCCTTGCGATCGATGAGGGCCAACTTATTTTGAATAGTGTCGATTTTGAATTTTTCGGCTGTTGCAGCATCGTGGACAATACGCACTTGGACAGCTGGCCAATGAAGTAGGAATAGTGCCGTTTCGATGGCAACCGTTGAATTTTCTGGCTCATACACCAGTGCTATGTATTCTCGCTGACTGCTTAGGCCCTCGAAGAGGGAGGACGCACTGTCGTTATCTGTCACCTGCTGGAAGTTCGGCCAGAAGCTGTTGTTGGTGGTCGCTGTCTGATTCTCGGCTGCCACAAATTTGGCCAGCTGTGAGCGAATCTCGTCGGGATTTTGGGTTTGCAAATTTTGGCCATATTGCTTCACGCCAGGCTGGAATCCGGGTCCCATATACCGCATTGTAGGATATCCCATTACCTCGTACATGCGGCATACACCGTTGTTTTCTTCAGCTGCACAATCAATGGCACTAATGAGGACCACATCACGCCATGGTAACAGCTGCTCGGCCACCGCCTTATAAATGGGAGCAAACCTTCGGCAATGTCCACAATACGTATTGTAGAACTCGACCAGAACTGAACGATTCTGCTCCAGCACCGTCTCATTAAAATTTGCACTGGTCATTATAAAAACCTTGTCCTCAACACTATACAGCCCCATGTCTTCGTCAGTTGATTGTTGCTTCATTAACGCCTCATATCGTCCAGGAACGGCAGCCGTTGCCAAATTGGCAATCAGCAATATTAATTGAACTTTTAAAAGTGCCACCTGCGCACGTCGCTGGGTAATCATCTTGTGCTCGTTCCCGATGTACTACAAGACTGAGACGATAACTTCTTAACACATTTGGAATGTGTTGACGGCTTGATTTGCTTTATCGCCTCTCACTTTCTGTTTGTCATTCGCTCGCGGAGCTCTGCTAGTGGAAGATATGCTCAATAATGCTTAGGCAGTCATTTACACGGACTTGCTGCTGTTGTCGCACAGCGGGTTGCTAATAATACCAGTGGACTGCGCTTTCGTCAAATAAGCTGCGTATCTGCTTTTCATTCTCACCAGGTCTCACAGAAATTGTTTAATTACATACATAGTCGCTCTAATAATATGGCTACTCTAGTTTCTTGAGTTGCTGTTGCCAGATCTTCAAATATAGAAACAAAATACAGTTCGCAATGGCCTTGCCAGATAAGTTGCCATAGTATTTGATATTGTAAACACTAGTCAAACCAAACAAATTATGTTATATTTTTAAATTGAAAAACTATGATTTTGCGTCCGTTGAATCGCGTCTTGCCGCGCCGCGTTTCCGATTTGGCATGTTTCCTGCTCGTGGCCATATTCGTGCCGGTAACATATATCTTTCAAACAACAATTGTTTTGCCAGAGCTTCATGATGTCGGAGGATTTTGGTATAGCGCTATATGGGTGGCCGGCCTCTTTCTCGTATTCAACCTGACATCCAATATGCTGGCTTGCATGCTTGTGGACACAACCATAAAGAGCAAGTTTATAATCAGTGCATCACTTACTGGTGATTAAATATTTCCGTTTACAGTTGTTATCCTGAAGCCGCCCATGGAGCCTGACCTGCGCTGCCGCTGGCGCATGTGTGAGGAGTGCCAGGCATTGGTGCCGCCGCGATCGCAACACTGCGATGTGTGCAAGATTTGCGTTCTGAAGCGGGACCATCATTGTCTCTTCACCTGCTGTTGCATTGGCCACTATAATTATCGATATTTCTTCTATTTTCTGGTCTACATGGCGATTGGGTCCCTCTATGTGAGCATAAACACGAGCATCTATTTGTGGTATTTGCATGCTGATGTGTACTGGAGGTTGTACACCTTACTAAAATTAATATTCCCGGCATTGCTGCTTGTCATTGACTCGTCGTGGGCGAATTTTTATCTATTCGTATACGAGCTGAATCTGTTGGCGTTCTCCATGAGCACGCTCTTGCTTCTATTCCATTGGCCGGTGATAGCACATGGGGCGACAGCGAAACAACGACGAGGCAAGGATTTTGATCTCGGCCTACGGGGAAATTTGGAAATGGTGCTGGGCAAGCGCATGTTCTTGACATGGCTGTCGCCCTTCGTGCGCAGCGAGTTGCCTCACGACGGCATAAATTGGATGCCTAATGCTAAAGAAAACTGAATCATCATTTATAGAACTAGTCACCTTTTGGATTTAGTGTTAGTCTTAGAATTGGGAGGGGAAGGCTTTAAATCTAATGCATTAATTAATTCCATTAATTGCATTATATAGCCTGTTGTCTCTTGCGATTTTTGGGCTTTGAGTAAACATAGTCATTAGACATAAGTTGCATCTTGTGGATGTGTAGGAATTTATTTAGATGTACAACAAATATTGCAATATTAAACGTATGTATGTATTGTGTAGCTGTATAAAACTCATTTGTCTAGAAAACTGTCGCCGACCAGCGACTTCAGCTTGGCCAAGTGCCCCTCGTTGAGTGTGAATCCACCATTAATACGTTTTGCTAGTGTAATGGATTCCATGTTATTTTCCACAACATATTGCAGTGCAATGAGCGACTGACTAGGTGATTTGTTCAGTACACACGCATCCACGAATTCCTGTAAGGCGGTCTCGGCGGGCGTTCCAGGTATGCGATGTTGGTTTTTGTCAATGTATGTAAACACTTCGGAAGCCTTCTCGAAATTATCGCCGCGGACCAGCAGCGTCAGAATGTCGCCCAGCATTTGGCCAGTGAATGAGACCTTTTTGATGCGATGTGAAGACTCTTCAATTTTTTTGTACATGTCCAAAGCCACTGAGGCGAATTGGGCAGGCAATTGCTGCTGTTCTGTATTCTCTTTTGGACGATTCTCGATCATAATGCGCAGGAGAATTAGCAACAGACTTTCACGCTGCGTGAGATCGAAGATGACCATATCAGACCACATTCGAGGAACATGTTCCGCCGCAGCATTGATCTCAATTGCCTTTAGTATTTCTTCCATGATGCCCGGTTCAGGAATGTAAATGTTGGGCACTAACAAATCGTAGGTACGCATAAAGTCCTCGATGGCCTCAGTCTGACAGAGCAGCGCTAAATAATTACGATAGTAGATCGACTCTTTGAAAGAGTCACCTATCAGATCGTAGTTCTTGCCAAAGTGTAGTAGCTCGTCGACCTTTTTAGCCAGTGATTTATCGTGCAAGTGATTACGGCACACGTCCATCGCAGTGGCAAAGAAAAAGGTGTCTTTTGGATGTGCAATGCTAAACTCTTTTCCGGCAATATCATTTAAAATGTCCACAATCACGTGTGACACTGGTCCGCGGTCGCGGCAAAATATGATAAGCAGATAATAATATGTGCCCAAGCTAGGGCTCACGCCCAGTTTCTTAAACTCGCTGAGAACCCTCAAGGCATGACTGCGTGCCATTTTAAAGTTGCCAAAGGTGCTAATGCAACCCAGCAATGCATTCAATGTTCCCAGATTGGGGCGGATTTGTTGTTCCGACATTTGCTGGAGTAATTGGGCGCACAACTGCCACCGCTGATCTGCTGTTTCCTTTAGAAAATTAGCAATGCTGATGATGGCATTGAAAGTGTTTGCATCTAGTTCCAATCGCTTTTCGCCAGCTTCTTGAAACAGTGCGTAAGCGCGTTCACACTGGTGATATTTTGCCATGCCACGAATAAGGGCCGCATAAGACTGCGGGGTCTTTGGTTCGATGGCAGCAAAAAGTTTCTCAGCTAAATCACCGTCCTTCCAAGTCTTGCCATGACGTTCGCGTCGCCGACTGTTCTCCATGAACCAGCGCTCTTCTATATATTCTTCTTCCAGAGGCTCCTGATTGTTGTAAAAGCAGACGAGCTCTAGCAGGCTCTGCTTCAGCGACTCACTGATTTCCATGCCCTTCTCTTCCATCACATTGTATACCAAAACTGCGTCCGATAGTTCTCCCTGAGCAATAAGTTGCTCCAGAGTGCTCGCATCCACTTCCGAATTCTCATTGTAGATTACGTTTGGTGCGAACTTCTCAATCGGAGGCTGGGCTTCTTCATGCTACAATGACAGTCAAGTATTGGTGTTGGTTTTAGTAAATAAGGACTCTTTTTACCATAAAAAGTTCTCGGTGTTCCTCCTTGATCCAGCTAGCTGCTTTTCGTCCTGCTTCTTGTGACATGGCGAATGTACGCTTCGCTGCATTGGACATGGGTATCAAGTAGGGATCGTCATGGTATTTGTAGTGCGGGGCGGTTGGATCGCGGCCCACAGTGCTGGCTAGGGCTTGCAGTATGTCTGTGGGCGAGCGCTCTATCCGCTTGGGTATTTCGATCCGCTCTTCCGCAGAATTGGTTGTGTAATGCTTGCGGCACGCGAGTCCACGCACGATGGTAGACTTGGGCAGCTGTCTCAACTGGCGCGAAAGGTACATGGTCAATGTGTTGAGGTCCTATATCTGTTGTAGTTTCAGTTATAATTCCTTGATTCCTCAACTTCAGTTTTAACGCATGGAAACAGGAAAAGTGGCCGTACCTTGCTTACACCAACCACAAAACAGCTGTTACAGAGCTTGCCATAATACGAAAAGATGTTAGCAACGAGACAGTGTTGCCGTACCTTCGTAATTTAATCTATAAAACGTCTGAGAATTCAATTTATTTGAGAGACACCGGTGTTGTTTTAAAAGCAGATTACGTCTTAAACTAAGCAGATGAACAATATATAGAACACCATCACAACGCAATCAGTATCAAATAATGAGTTCATCGCTTGCTTTCGTTTTTATAGAATAACAGAATTCAGTTTCACTTTGTGTGTAGTCCTAAACTGGATTTTAATGTGTAATATACTTATTAGTGTGCCCGCATTTCAGGACGTTGGCTTGATCACACTGCATAATTTGTTCGATAAAGTTTTTTAAAAACACAAATCAGTTGGAGGTATTACATTATTGATATGGAATGGAATACCGTCTGATTGTTCTACATAACTGATATGTTCATTCTAGCTATGCATACCTGTGCAGTTGCCGTTTGTGGGCCTTCGGTTTAGTTGGACGAGGCAAGCCGAGGTAATCAAACGCTTTGCATTTTACCTGAAGCCCCTTTTGTGTGCGAAATAAGCATGTCTAAGCCGCTTTTATATTACGACGATCGTAGTCCACCCGTGCGCAGTTGTCTTATGCTTATAAAAATTCTAAACATTGACGTTGATCTGCATTTTATTGACCTTTTCAAGGGTGCTCAGTTTGAAGCAGAGTTTTTAGCGGTGAGTTGGAATTGTATAGATGGTGTATATATGTATGTACATGATAATATATAAGACGGTTGCAGTTAAATCCGCAACATAGCGTCCCAACTCTAGTGCATGGAGACATTGTGCTTACTGATAGCCATGCTATTCTTATACATTTGGCGGAACTCTACGATGAAGCAGGTACATTGTGGCCCAAAGATCATCGCCGTCGCATGGAGGTGTTGAATCGGTTACTCTTCGAGTGTTCCTTTTTGTTTCGGCGCGATAGTGATTTTATGGTACGTACATACATATATTTCAAGGCAATGTTTCTATTAAAACTAGTGCAGATTTTGGCTTTGAATTACTTACTTTATATGGCATATACATTTTTTAATTAAATAAACGATATAAGACCTAATTTTTCCTATTTTAGTCCGAAATTGTGCGTAAAGGATTTACAAACGTCGATGTCAGTTATCACGAACGTAAGCTATGCGAGGCCTACGGCATCATGGAACAGTACTTGGCAAAGCAACAACACATGGCTGGAGACCAGGTAGGAGGAATCGAAACCGCAAAACCCAAATGCATGTTCCGTAGTTGTTTAATAACGTTTCAAATTTCTGCTTCGGTGTTTTTAGCTGACTATTGCAGATGTTTCCATTGTGACCACATTGAGTACTGTGAATCTCATGTTTCCGGTAACAGGCGCACGTTGGCCAAGGCTGCAGATCTGGTTTGCCGCAATGCAACAATTGGAGGCGTACGAAGTTAATCAGACCGGCTTGAATAAATTGCGGCAAGTAATGGAACACGTTGGCAAGTTCAAGTTTCCCAATCCAGGCAATGACAAAGAAGTCGATATTTAAAGTTCCATTGGCAGGCAATTGATAGAAGTACCAAACATTTGAAATCAATTTTGCTGTAATCGAAACAAGTATTTAAAATAACCTTTGCATATTTTATACATACTACTTATATACACAGATGATATTTAAAGAAATTGATATACCCAAATTGTATAACATCCATCAATTTGTTATTATGCCAACAAGCTTCCTAATAGCACACAATTTGTTTCCGGAAAACTAATAAACGCAAACATTTTGTTACTAAATGTTTTGCGACAGCTTATATGTTATAGTAGTCCGCTTTGGTTTGAATTAAAGTATATTTTGTCTAAATAAGTATCATTAATAAATAATTTTACTATCTGGTATAGGCTATAGATTGTTTATCTATGTGTATCTGCAATGTGGATTCAGCCATGCCTCCTGCTGTGCTTTTCAAACATTAGAGACAGAAAAAGGGCAAAACATATCTATGGGTTGATTAAAAAGAGTTTAATTTTAAAAACTTACCATTATAACTAAATAACCTGTGCACACCCTTATCCCAGCTACATCCATCCAATTAAACAATAGGGTCCGCCACGACCCTTTTTACGTTAAGTTAGCTCTTAGACTTTCTAGTATACCCTTGACCCTTCGGGTACAGTACATAAAATGCTTTATCCACCTCATATGAAATGTATGTTCGATGAGTTTTATATGTTTGACATATTTACGTAGGATAATTATATGCCCAGCCCATTGGAAGCGCGAAGTGCGTTTGTAATCTAAAAGCCGCTAATGATATATCAAACAAATTGTAAACGTTCGCGCCCCTTTCAAGGGTCGTGAAAGCGTTTGTTGGTTTTGACGGTTTCGGGTATTGTTTGCACTTCAAAATGCGTACAGGCCCTTACTAATGACACATGCCACATACCTACCTAATGGCCTAAACGGGCGCCTAGGCAAGGGTAATCAAATCGTTTGACATCACTTGGTGACTACGTTGTTAATTGCATGGACAGTCTAAACAATTTAATGGCTTTCCCAAATACGCCAAACTCAAACAAAGTTATAAGGCACGCATTTCACTGAAGTTGTTCCATTTCCACATAATTCTTGAGGCAAACTTTTCGCGTACGTGCGTTGGATGCAGCAGATCCGTCAGCGGCTGCTCCCCCGACCAGCTAAGGAAATTGCAACAAATGCAGCAACAATTGTTTTCCTAACGACGCGGTGGGCACATGGAAGCAACTTGGCAAGCTGCAAGTTTTTCAATTTTCTTATCAACTTCCCAATACTTTTTCGTATCCAAACGAACCCTGGCGGTGGCAGGACCTTTTCAGATTTGCGCTCTGACATGCAATGTGACAGCTTAGCTTTTCCTGGCAATGTTATTATACCTTGTGTCCAAAAGGCAAGATGGGTGTCAATTTGTTAGATGAAACCTTCCAATGCGGACAGACCAAACAAAATACACCTAATTCTGTGTTTTCACGGTAGATCGGTTCCAGAAACAACCGTGTAAAATAGGTATATAGTATATGCAATTTTTAATTTTCAAACCAAGTTATATCAAAATTGTGTACAAAAAGCTCGTGTAGAAACAAAATTAGGTTTGTTGTATACATATGTATATACGAATATATGAATTCCTTATCTTGAAAATAATTAAAGTACGCAAATTCAAAAAAAAATAAAATAAAATAAATAAAACATAATTTTTTGCAAGACGTTTGAATGAGGTGTTTTTGTTTCAAGATTCCTTTATTGATATCTCGATAAATATTAACAAGAAAATATTGATAAGTGGGGGATAGGTGGGGGAAACATTTGGCAACCCACGTTAAAAAGAGAGCTGGATATAAGAAGAAAAATATATATCTATTAAAGTGGCCAAAATTTTGTGCTGTGTATAAAGTTTATTCGTTTATTTTGTCAACTTTAAACATTTTAAATAAGAAGAAGATAAGATATGTATATGCTGTAATTGTAAAAATGTTGCGATTGCAATTAAAAATTTTTAAAGCTTAGTTGCTTCAAGTATTTGCATGATTTTATCGTAATTTTCGACGAAGGGTCTACCTCGGCGACGACCTTTAACTTAGAAATTCCCGGATCATAATTGTTTAAATCCAAATTGCGCATAATTAGCAGAGACAGTATCGGGGCCATTAACATTTTTCACAAATTCCGCCGCTTTAGTTGCATTTTCTCCCTTATCAAAAAACCATTTGTAAACTATACCAGTTTTTGCTCTTCAAGCTTAACATTTCAAAAATGCCCAAACATGATAGCACACTAATTAAATTAAAGTTGGCTAATTAAAAGAACTGTATGTGTGGAGTAACAACTGCTGATTTAATTTGATTCACATTTGCATTTTGTTTCGAATTTGACTAAAAACATGACAATTTTGATGAATAGCATTACTTCCGTTAATGTGATTTAAATATAAATGTTTAATTCATTCTCGCTATATTTATTAATGAAGTGCTCAGTGCATTTAGGACCAAAGAAAAGATCTATTTTTTACTAAATTGCTGCAATTGGAAACAAAATAAGCATGCGTATATTTTGCAAAAATGCACAGGGCCCATGAATTACAGCCTATTACGAGAACAATGGTACAATGAGGTCGTCATGAAAACAATTGCTGAGTGGGGAAGACGAAAATTTGGCAGCAGGCAAGTCATTGATGTTGCTAATTAGACACATAATGAGGCAAATTAGCATAGCTGTTAAAAATTAGCTGCGTGTGCATACATTAAAACCTAAACAAGTAATCAAGTTATAATGACAAATTTTTAACTTCGGGCCCCGCTTTGGGTCCAAGGAATATAATTTGGCAGCGCAAAACGTTGACGCTCTACAAACTTTTTGGCTACAAAGTTTTTAGCGCTGTTGTCAACGTGAGTTTGAAAAATCTTTGTTTTGATATGCACGCTACCCATGGTGAGTGATTGGGAGGGGAGCGGTTCGGATTGCCATGGCCAGCCTTGTCAATCTATGGCGGCCTGGTTGGGTGTTGAGTTGCGAATGTTGGAAAATACTTTGCACAAATTGATTTACAGAAAATGTTTCTTTGAACTTGGTAGTGCCTGCGCTGATGAAAATGATAGGCTAAAGCTGTATCGCCCCGCATTTGAGCGCTGTCAATCAATTTGCTAAAATTGAAAGTTTTAGCCACTTTTGGAGCGAACGCTTCGGGGCCCAAGTCGGCTGCGAAATCTCATTATGCGCTGCCACAACTAAACACTTAAGTAGCAGAATAGAGGCCAGATTTAAAGTGTTAGCAGGCAAATTAAATTAGAGCGCGCATCCACAGCAGACTACAGATATGGATCGGCAACTGGGCAACTGGGAAGTTCTCCTTGTTTGTTCTGGCCTGTTATTATTACTTTTGGCAATTCTGTGTGTTTCATTTCATGTTCAGTTTTGTCATGGGTCGGATAGGTTTTTCAATTTTTTTTTTTTTCAACAAAAACATTTTCAATGTGGACACAATTTCAGGCACACACATACATATGTACGTACAAGTGCACCAAGAAAAAAAAGTGCGATAAAACTAAGTGGAATGCATTTGCCATTTTTAAAAGTTAAAGCAAAAAAAAAAATGTAAAAAAAAGTTTGAATCGAACATCTCTTATGGTATAATATATATGTAATATATATATATATATATGTAATATATATGTATAATATATATGTACCCACTAATCAAAAAACAATTAATATATTTTTTAACTTATTAAAAATGTAAGCAATTAAATAAAATACCATATAATTATATTTGCATAAGGAAGCATCTCCCTCCCCACGCAGTACAATTTCGACACCATTATCCATAATGCCAAAGCCACATAGACCTCATATTGCACTTGTAATTAATATAGAATTCTCGAGTATAGTCTACAATTTTATCCAAATTAAAAAAATATGTTTTGATTTTGGTAGCTGAACACAAGAAAAAAATAAATAAATGGAATGCAATTCGGAATAGCAAAGAAAAGAGAGTTTATATGATTTTTTTCTGGGTGTATGAGCTGGAAGTGCCAGACATCGTTGAACGAAATTGAAATCGAGGCAGAATTGAATTATTTATTAAACATACGAATGAAATTCAAAGCATTTTACATTTTAGGCTCGTTGTTGGTGTTTCAATTTGCTTTTCGGTTCGGTTTTGTTATCTGCTCGTTTGGTTGGTTAATATACACACTTTTTTGTTCTGCTCTTTGTGGTTTTCCTTCTGTGGACTCCCCCCAACGACTCCAATGTTTTTCAAGGCTGCCTCGTAGACCCTTTTTAAGTGCTTCTATCTGCCGTAGCTGAATTTCTAATTAACCGTTGCTGTTAAGTAAAAGATGAAATAAAAATAACTGGGTCTGATCATTGACGTGAGTGCGAATTTGATGTAAAACGATTTTACCAGTCAAGGGCTTGAGAAGTTGAATGGATTCATGAAGGGTGATGCAAATAAAAAAGAACCTTAAACCGAATTTTGCCAAAAATGGCAAACAGCTCACAAGAAACAAAGAGTACAATATAGTAGAAAAATAATTAATGTAAATAAACGAATGCAAATGAGAGGTGCACGGCTCTTCAAAGTAGCGCCATTAACTTTTTGTTTGGCCCTGGCTCGCTTTTATATTTCGGGCCATTAAAGCTTATACAAATAATTTGTGAAAAATTCAGGCAACTAATGATTGGCCGCAATTAGATATAACCGATGTTATTCATAGGGCCACGTGGCATTTTCAAATTGGAAATTTAATTTGGGCGAGATGTCAATATTCTTTAATTGATTTTTTTTTACATATACTTATGCTGCAAAACGACACAAATGACAAAACAGCAGACCCACGCTATGTCGTCTGTCTAGAAAATGGTGCGAAAATTGTATATAGGTATATGAACATCACATCACACAAACAAAATATAAAGATTAGACATGTTTTCATTTGTTTCGAAGCTGCCGCCAATATTATATAACAAAATGACGACATTGACGCGTGATTTTCCAATTAAATTTTTAAGCTTTTCGCTTTAAGAAATAAATAACATATATAAATGTACGTACGTGTATGTACACATATACACAAATAGTTATTTTTAGACTCTTTCGCACACTATAAAAACTATTTAGACGCTTAAGAGTGGAAAAATTTGGTATTTATAAATAAATGATGTATATACTTGTAATCAATTGAAGATTGCAAAGTCTCTCTCGGTGAGCTAAACTCAATGCTTGACTTAATTTCCGCTTCCGCATAGTCTCTTCCCAAGTTTGTCGCTCTTGTCTGCTCGTGAAGAAAAACGGATATGAAAATGTTAGCATCATTCTCAATCGCGTTGCTTTACAGCTAAGGCATGACTCCGAGGCATGTAGCAAGCTATTACGATTGCAACAACAACAGCTACAAGTGAACCTAAAACTCCAAACGAATCCTTGCTCACTTTCATTTAAATAGGGGCTGTTGAACGACAGCATTTTCGCTTGACCTCATTCTTATATCCGTTGCCATTTTGGTCTCCGCTGCTCGCTTCTGTTGTTGTGTTTTTTTTTTTTTTTTTTTTTTTGTTCATTCTGTGTGTCCTATTGGCATTCATATGAAAACGAACATTTCAATGCCCACCTACTTCTCATTGTGCTTTTTCTCTATTTAAGTACGTCTAGGCCTCGGTGGCCTTTGTTGCGTTTCTGTGTTAATTTATGCGAAAATAATCCTGCCGAATTTAGCATCAAGTGGCTCGACACATTGTTGTCGAGTGCGTCTGCTTGGATGAAGTGCTTCTTATATATATATGTGTGTACATTTACGAACATATACAAGTAGAGTATGCATTATACATAGGGGCTAGTTTGCTTGCTGGCTTTCAGCTTGTAAGTGTAGTATTCACATACATTGCTTGATTCCAGAAAATCAAAATTCCGCCAGCAAACATAAAAGTGTTGAGACTATGTGTAAACATGCAATTTACTTGAACGACATCATAATATTTGATGATGATGATGCACGACTATGTCTGACCTCTCCGAACATGCTCCATTACGAGCTCTCTTTTAGATGAGGGCTTGAGTGGCCGGTCCAGTGTTTGCTTAAATACATCATGAATATAAACAAAGACCGTTGTTTACTCAAAGCATTTTCTCGATTCTATATACGAAAATACCGCACATGGAATGTTTTGTGTGCAGTTTGCCTTCATGCTGCGTATGGGCACACCCCACATACATACATATTTACAAGTACATACATATGTACATTCATATGCACATATGTTCACGCGTGCTAAATAAAATGGCATCATATTGTTTCATATGCCTTTTGTTTATGTTCAAATTACAGTTTCGTTTTGCATTTTCTTGTTCTTTTTCCTTCGAAAATTTAACCTTGTACATTTAGTGCACAACATGGGGGAAAGGAGGACTATACTTTAACGCGATCATTCATAATATAGACCAATAGCTTTATGATGGAGTTATTCTATATGTAACACCTCAAAGAATTCGGCGTAGATTCCACAGGGAATTGTAGATTTGCCTTTCTTTAGTAAGCAAACGATGTCCTTACATTAATTTTACATAAACTAGCTACTTTTCTATATACATAAATTCTCTGGGTTTCATAACAAATATTTACTCCTCCATTATCGTGGCTCGCGAACTATACTTGTATTATCTTCAGTTTTTAACCCACAAGTGGTACAAGTCTAGTCTAATTAGTTATAACTACAATTTTCTCAATATGCAAATATGTTCTTTCTGTAATTTTCGAATTTGCACTTTTAATCAGCTTCTGATTCTTATTCATACGTATTTTATTCGATTTAAACATCAAATTGGATATCTAAACATGGGACAACTACGGATAAAATTTTGGTGATGATTGTTAAAACTTTTTTTTTGGTTTGGTTTTAAGTTTAAAGACTTATACAAGTATACTTAAGCCAACGCTAATGAGACTGATATGCACCATTTTTTTCTGGTCAATTTTTAAACTTTTAAGTCCATTGGTTGACTTAATCTATTTTGTAATACCTTGCCCATTGAAATCTGCAACCATATTATTAAAGTCTCCTATTGGCCATACAGTTTTTCTATGCATAAGTCCTGGCTCATTTTGAATTTATAATAAGTAATATTTAATAATAAGTTTTGCAAATTTAAAATCCCCTTTTCCAATCCTCAATCGTTAAAAAATGCTACGCAAAACACTGTGATCTTGGATGCACCATTTGCTCACAGTGGTGGCCGTTTTGTTAAGGCAAAAATTACTTCAGGTTTTTTTGAAAAAATAAATTTAAAAATGTTTCGCTAGTTGTTTTTTTTTACAATTGTGTATTGGAATAATTTTAGTATAATAAGTGGTGTGCCTGTTTGAATGCATACCATACTTTGTCTGAATTAAGAAAAGGAAATGCAAATTAAATTGTTTCAATTATAATGCTGTGGGCGATTATGAAAAGGAAATCGTCCTTATTCTATGCGGGTGCCGAAACAAAAAAGGACACGAAGAAATTTTAGTTCTGTCACAATGATAGGCCAAATTTTGTTAATTAAAAAATGGCTGCTGTGGGCACTTTTTCATGTCAATCACTGGCCTCTTGCCTTGCTGCTGTCAGAACGCGCTCTTTTAAAAATAAAACAACACGCCATGCTAAGAAAATGCGAAAATGCGGGCAACAACAACACACCGCCACGTTCTGGAAAGTCTCACGTAGTGACGCAGCGCAGCGAATTTCATTTGCCTTTCCACCTGTTCAATGCCTTGAGACTGTGGCATAAAAATAGGCATTACCCAGTCCACATTTTGCGCGAAACGTCGGACGCCCATTTAAGTCGAGCACTGGCCTGCTGATATCGAAATTGTATCTGCTCTAGCGCGAGTTATCGATCACATCTTTCAGAATTTCACATTTTTAGAATGCCATCTGGGTAGTTTTGTCTTGGCAATGCGCGTGTACTTATGTATGCCTGAGTGTTTGTACTTATTTGTTTATGCTTTTCTCGACTGTTAGCCTTAATAATAAATTTGCTGCTTGCTAAGGACAGATGGTTGGCTGGTTCCCCAACATTGAAAATTGTCGTAGTCAGACATGTTTTCAGCTTGTTGTGCTTGTTGCCTTTGGTCATAATTTAAATTTGATGCGCGCTTCATGTCTTTTAGCTGACGTTCCAAATGCCCCGAAGTGGGTTTTGGTATATTAAGGCAGGCATGAAGAGAAAAATAACGCATAAATTTAATTAATAGTATAAAATGAAAAGTGGTTTTGACCTTGCATATCTTAATGTTAATTTATTGAAAATGTGTAGTAATTAAGATAGAATTTAGTTGGTTTCGCCATCAAAGGCCTGGAGAATTTTTTTCACAACTTCATTTCAAATAAACAATTATGCCTGTCTTGGTAAATCATGCTCTTTCCATTGATTCATAAAAACGTGTTGTTTGGGTTCGAAAATTGATGGACGGCATATGTTTGTTAAATGGAATTTGATTGAATGGAATAACATTAAAAATATACCCAAGCAGCCTACTAACACTCTCATGCTAAATTTGATGAGATATTATTAATTGGATTATTGATTAAGTGAATATCTTTCGCTACGTGTTTGTTGGGAATCCATTTTGTTAATAATGGCATTACATCTACATTTTTCACTCTTACGCTTACAGAACTGATCCCAAATATATAACGATCTTGAATATAGTAACCCACACACATGCGACTAGTACTTAGTAGTACATGCAATGCCATTTTTAATTGTGACACACTGCATTCCAATGGAAATAACGAGCCACATTTGCACGCGCAGTGCAAAAATGCATGCCAGCAGCTGTTCGTGGCCAAAGAATAAAGTACAGAATTGGAAAAATGGCACATTTTGTACACAAAATTAATGTGTAACGCATGATGAAATTATGAAATGGACAGCAACGCAAAAAGGATTGTAAAAATTTACTTAGCCAGGCGCGCGCTTCTTGTTTATTATTTTTTTCTTTGCAATATGTGTGAGAATTATTATAAATTTTTGTTGTGGATAGATGGGCTAAAATTAAAACGCACGACTCATTCGCAGAAGCCGTAATGACCAAAATCCCGACGGCGACGACGACGACGACGACGACGACTGCAAAGACGAAGAAGGCGGCCGCACCTATGGCGGATGTATTGCTGCTGCTGAGAAAAAATCATAACACCCACGCCCATAGCGTGAAAATCTCACAGCCTCCAATTTTCACACTACGAGTGCCTATGTATGTATGTGTACAGATGACTCCGAATTCGGAATTATTTTTGGAAAATTCGTGAATATACTGATCGTGCGTTATGCTCTCGCGCTTTAAAAGCGCCATACGCCCCCTAGTCAGGCATCAGTGTAGGCTAGCCATAGCTCTGGTGAAGATCACAAATCCGAAAAAAAAAACAACAACTAAACAAAATGTCTCTTGAGCGTGCTATTCGTGCCAAGGTAAATACAAGTGGTCAACAAAGTGCATTGAAAATGAATAAAATATTAAAGTGAATCAAATAAAAAAAAAACTATAACGTGGAAAGCTTAAAACTTATTGTAATGGGTGGTTGTATGTTTCTGTGTCTAGATTGCCGGCAAGCGCAATCCCGAGATGGACAAGGAAGCCCAGGAATGGATTGAGGCTATTATCGGTGAGAAATTCCCCGCTGGTCAGTTGTATGAGGATGTGTTGAAGGACGGTCAGGTTCTGTGCAGACTCATCAACACTCTGCAGCCCAATGCCGTGCCAAAGGTCAACTCATCTGGCGGCCAGTTCAAGTTCATGGAGAACATCAACAACTTCCAGAAGGCGCTGAAGGAATACGGCGTGCCCGATATTGATGTCTTCCAGACCGTCGACTTGTACGAAAAGAAGGATATCGCCCAAGTTACCAACACCATTTTCGCCCTGGGCCGTGCTGTAAGTAATAAATAGCCATGTGATTGTTCCACTCCTAACTTCAACCCACGTTTGCAGACCTACAAGCATGATGAATTCAAGGGACCCTTCCTGGGCCCCAAGCCTGCCGATGAGTGCAAGCGCGATTTCACCGAGGAGCAGCTGAAGGCTGGCCAAACTGTTATTGGTCTGCAGGCTGGCTCCAACAAGGGTGCCACCCAGGCTGGTCAGAATATTGGCGCTGGCCGCAAAATCTTGATCGGCAAGTAAATTTGGAAGCGCATGTGCGCCAGCAGATCTTGGACTTGTCATTCTTTCATAATTTATTTTAAATATTTTTGTAAAAGAACTAAATATTTTTAAGTTTACAAAACCACATTAAAAAACAACAAAAATATTCCCAATACACCCACACATAAACACAAACACAAAAGGAAAAAAACCGCACACTATAATTACATTAAGTATACGCATAAGTTAATTTATAAAATAAAAAAGATATTGGAGAAAAACGCTTGAAGGAATTAAAAGTTTGTGAAAACATCTATCAAATTGAGAACCAATTAAATATTTTATATTTTTGAATATAATTCATAAAGTTAAACTCTTCTCCGAATGAGCCCCTTAATTGAATTGAATCTTTAGAGTAATGCTAATCACCTCTTTAACCTTCAGCTGCCGCCATATTTTTGCCTTTTGTGTGGGTGTGCTTTTTATTTATAATCATGTCTGATTTTATTTAGAGGCCAGCAACATAAACAACTAATGTGCGCGATTTCGACTGCACGTCGAAGCGATACATATAAACAGATCTAGATAATACATATATTTCTCTTTCATTATACTTATAGTATGTATGTAAGCGTGTATAATGAAATGTTTATTATGAACATCGGCACTTTTTACAAGCGAGTGGGAAAATTTCTACTGTAGCGGGTCGAGGTCATTTTTACCAGCGGAAAAATGCCAATAGAATGCTACAAATTCAACAGAGCTATTCATATGCAAAAGTTATTAAGAAGAAAATTGAATATTTCATTAAAAATAGCCCAAAAGCATTAGTTCTCTGCCCATTCTGACGGCATTTTGCAGGACAATATTTTAGAAAGTACAGGTACTATTTTCGAAATTAAGAGCTGAGACAAATTTTCCACCTGACGTTTATTTCTGTATTTCTTTTTTTGTGATTAATACGCGAGTATTTCTCACATGTGTTTTATTTTTGGCTAATTGAAATGAATTTCAAACGATAATTTCCACAACAAATTTTAAGTCTGTGAAATATTGCTAATTTGAATTTCAAAAATTGAAAATTCATTTTCCACAAATATAAACAAGGAATATTTATAATAAATAGAATGAGACACAACTCTTCGCTTCAAATTCGAACTAATTATTCGGTTTCCCACATAGGACGTTGCGAGAAGATATTTAAAAAGGGGTTTATCTCAATTATGATACATTTATTTGATTTATATTTCTGTTCACCAAGCCTTTCCTATTCATTTAGATACCACTGAGAACTATTTGTATTTTTTTAGTGTACCTGCTTAAAAGGCAGCGCATGCACCTATCTGGAAGTGAGCTTCTTCAGGTTTGAATATGTGTCCTTAGCTTTCAATTATACTCCTTTTATTTATAGTATAACTAAGTTAGAAAATCTTGTCGATTTTTTGTGTAACTTTTTTACAGAAAATATGTAAAGTTTGCTGTGCTTTAAACAGCTGCCAAATATAATTATACATATTATTTTTCAATTTTAATCTAATCAACAATTTCAAATCTAGTGACTTACTAATAAAATATATTTATTATACGATAGTATTTGTATGTTTTATTAATGTATAAATAGTTGTTTTTTTGGTACATAGTTTTTGTGCATTTAATTGTATTAGGGGGAAACTTGATATAAATAAGACTGACACTAATATCACTTTTTATGAAAATCTTTTAGACTGTAAGAAAACTTGAAATTGAACCTCCGCTATCATTCTCATAGCGATTGAAAAATAATGCTATGTAGATGACTTATCTATAATTTGTTTGCTCAACATCTCGGCTCTATTAACACGCTCTATTAATTGCTTCTGTTGCTTCTTTAGTTTCTTCACTATTTCGTACTTTTTTTTTAACTTTTCCACAGTATGGTCGTAGTCGTACATTAGTGAGGGATTGGACAGCAGCCCGCCATTATAGGCTATATCCTGAGATTCATGTCGAGTCTTGCCACGCTCCACTTTCAACTTGAACAGTGTTTCGCGCAATTTGCGTTCATCATTAACAGCCCGATCATATACACCTTTGGCATGCTCCAGAGAGCTCGCGAGCATTGACGATTTTTCCCTCATATGTGCCAAGGCATGCAACTCATTGGTATAGTTGGTACGCATTTTCCTGAGTTCAGTGCTCCGTTCTGAGTTGAACGTGTGATGGGATTATAAATAACATACTAATAATATATTAATTCTTACCCTCTATTTTTTTACTTAAGCTTAGCACTTCAGTTTGTTTAGAAATGAATTGGCTCATTTCGAGTTCATCATTAATATATTCAAATTTTGCAATGCGCTGAGTAATAGAACAAGTTATTTTGAGTAGGAAAAGAAAGCCAATCCGTAATAGAAGTTACCTCATTAAGTCGACCCAAAGTGTGTTTTCTTATAAGAAGATCGTAGCGTGCGTCGCTTATTTCATTACGTACATTGTTCATAAGCCTTAGTTCTCGGTTGACTATTCGACTTAAAAACTCCGAGTCCTTGCGAATTAAGTTCTTGCGAATTGTATTCTCTAAGTCTACTTCGGTGGACATGGCTACGCTTCGTACGGCTGCAAGATCCATTAGTACACTAGACATGAGATAAGAGTTCATTTTCTTAGCCATAGCGGCACATTTTTTAAAATGGTCAAGGGAATTTAGAGCTGAATTGAATCTATCTAACTCCACTCGTTCCTTTTGTTCTGCATTCTTCGATAGCAATCGGAACGATTTTGTCCGTTTGCAATAATCAATAATCTTTGAATGGAGATTTTCATTTATTTGTTTCTCGCAAATAAATAACTGTAATTCCCTAATGAGATTCTTCATTAGTTTCGACTTATCAAGGTTTTTTAAAGCAAACATTTTGGGATCAATACGTTCAGCTCGATCAACAACCTCATTAATAATCCTCTGAAGTAAATCGTTCGCAAGTCTTGCATTCTCTCTGGCTATTCTTCTACTTTCCAAGTCTGTCGTCGATACATATGTAAATTCAACAAAAGATTTGGCCATCATATCAAGAAAATCTTCTGCAGTTTCTTCTGTAGCGACAGGAACTTCAATCTCATCTGGCATAAGTTCCAACTCAGAGCTTTCCTGAACTTGCTCCTCTTCGACTATTTCGGTGACGATTTGTACTTCCACGCTTTCTGAAGATGATGAAGATTCCTGCATACCGGTTAAGGGGTCCACAAAATGGCCGACGTCTACATTTTGAGTTGGCCGTTCTTCTTCGACTTTCAAAATAATAGATTGTGCTGTGTCTAAAACAATTTCTTCTTCAGATATATCTTTCATTTCAGGAAGTTCTGCAAAATCTGTTAAAAATTGTGTCTTAGCTGCAACAGTACATATTTCAGAGTCGGTGGACGAAATAGTCGAAGAAGTTGAAAGTAATGACATTTCTTCCAGTTCTCGCATGAGCTGTTCATCATATGTACCACGAAGAAGCAATTTCCCTCTTTCTTTTAGGAGCTGGTCCTCATCATAATCTTCCTCCATGAGTAGGCTCTTTGTTGTTAAAACTATTGGTTTACTTTTGCGTTCTTTCGACTCTAAATATTTTTGACGGTCTTCGCGTTTCTTTTGCCGAGCTTCTTTACGTTTTTGACGATTTATCTTTTCTACGTACTCAACTGTGATTCTTTCCGGTTCCCCTGTACCTTCTGATAATCCATGATCAGAGGTATTTACCAACTCAGTACTTGTGTTAAACCCCGAAGATCCCTCAACATCGGCCCTGGATTCTGTGGTGGTTTGTGAGGTCGCATCATCCGTGGATGCATCCGTAGATATTCCCACAGTGTCATTTTGCTGAAGGGGAGGATCTCCTCTGGTTTCGACTGTTTCTTCTTGCACTATGGTTTCATTAAATTCTACCTCCCTAATAAATTCAGTACCATCTGAACCTTCTGCTACCTCATCATCCTCTTCTGTTGGCTGCATTTGTTCTTCTTCCATTTCTTTGTGTAGATTGGTTTTTTGTTATATGTTTGTATGTTTGTTTATGTGTATCCTTTGTTTGTAAATGTATTCATTCGATATGTGTTGAGTTTGACATGAAATATATATATGCCCTAAAGCACTTCTCTTGGGTATCTTAGAATATTAAAAAAACCGAAATAACCTCTTCTGCACTTAAACTACACATGGAATCAGTTGCATTTTATTGTGGTCTGTAATGAAACGTTTATGTTGATAAACCACTAACATATACAGTTGTAATAAAGTTACTTTATACTGAAAAAGTAGCTTAAACAAAAATCTATCCCATTCCCATCACTATAATGACAGCTAGTCCCATTGGCCAAATGGTTAAAGCCAACGGCAAAAATATGCAGTTCAAGAAGAGGCTTATCCTACAAAAATCCACACCTACCTGTTTCTGTTTTTTTTACATCACATACAAGTATTGCATCGATGTGGCAAAATTTTCCAAATGGGAGCTTACTATCAATGCATTGCAAATGCGATGCATTTTTCTAACTACTTGTAGTGTTGAAACTTCGAATTGAATGAACCATGTTCAGTTTATTGTCATTGTCACAGTGCCAACACGTTTGGATAGATCTTTGAATGTGTCCCTAAGTTTCTGCACGGAAGCATGCTTCACCTTTAATTTATCCACAGTGTCATCGTAATCGAACATCAGTGTTGGCATGGCCAGTAGGCCGCCCTGATATGTTAGCTCGTTGCATTTTCTTCGAATATCTCCCCGTTCCAATTTTAATTTGAAGAGCATGTCACGCAAGTCGTGTTGTCGTTTTTTCTTCACTTTCAACTCTTCTCTTAGTAGCTGTAGTTTGTTTTCAAATGATAGGGTCTTTTCTCTGTTGTGTGCCAAAAAGTGTAACTCCATATGATAGTTTGAGTGCAGTTTCTTCAACTCAGCGTTTCGCTCTGTAATGGTATGTAAAATAGTTATATTATTTGGATTGCATGACGTAGGCACGTACCTTCGATTTTTTTGTCCAAGGCCTGAACCTCATTCTGTATGCTAATAAAATGGGTCATGCTGAGATCTTCAGTGATTTGCTCAAAGTGTTCAATGCGCTGCGAAATAAATAAATTATACTTTATAGCATTTAACAAATTCCAGCTCAAAACTTACCTCATCCAGACGTCCCAGCGTGTGCTTCCTTGTGATTAAAGCCAATCGCGTATCACTTATCTCGTTGCGCATATCGGCCATCAGCTTGAATTCACGATTAAGCACACGCTTCAAGAAATCGGAGTCTTTTCTTAAGATGCCGTTTCGCATCGCTACTTCAAGATCGACTTCAGTGGACATGGCTATATTTTGAACATATTGTAGATCCATTAGAGTAGCGGAATTAAGGTAGGCGTTGTTCTTCTTGGCAGCTGCTGCTATTTTTTTTGCGTGGTCCACTCGTTGCAATGCATGTATGTATCTGAGTTTTTCGGTGTGCTCTATATCGGGCGGCAGCTTCATAAGTGTTCGGGTGGACTTAATTCTCTTGAAGTAGTCAGTTATCTTTGATAGAATAGCAATATTGATATGTTTTTCAACAATATAGCGCTCTACCACCAGACTTAGTTCATTTATAAGCTTTACTTTATCTAGATTTTTACGTAGACGATTTTGGGGTGCAACTGATTCGGACTTTTTAACAATTTGATCTATAAGTTGTTCTACAGTTTGGTGTGCTATTTCATACAGTTCGAATTCATACTTTAAATCAAGGTTGACGTGTTTCTTTTGTTCGGTTGTTTCCAAAAGACTTTGTGTAAAATTAGTAAAAACATTGAAGTCGTCCTCCTTTTCTATAATGGGCATTGCATGAACGGATTCGGTTTCAGGCTCGAAGAAATCATCTTGCTCCTCAGTTTCCTCTTCCATTTCCTCGAAATGGTGGTCTGATATTTCTGCAGTGGAGTCTGTTGAATCACTCAATATATCTCCAGTCAAAGGATCCACAAATGCACCTTTATCTTCATCTACCTGTTCCGAGTTTCGGTTGGGGCTGGACGGCTTTGATACTGTAAAATCTATACCAATTTCTTCTTCCTCTTCAGATATTTCGGATAAATGAGGGAGCTCTTCAAAGTTGGTTAAGAAATGTTTTTTCATACCGACCGTATCTACTGCTTTATGAGAGTTCGTTGAGTCTGTTGTTTCAGTATTGCTATAGTCTGTTTCTTCAAATGCATCTAAAGCATCATGGGCTACAATATCATTATAATTTTCGTCAAATATCTTAGTATGCCGTGCTTCTTCCATGGCCGAACTCTCAGACCTGATATAGTTTTGACTATCTTCTTCAAACTCTTCGTCCTCGTAATCGCTGTGCACCTTGTGGACTATATTTTTTTTTTCTGAATAACCAACTGAGAATCGAGATTTCAGTGCATCCTTTAAATGGTATCGACGTTTAGGCTTTTCTAGTGTTACATCTTCTTCCATAGGGATATCCATGTAAGTCACCATTTCCGCCGGTGCTTCTTCTTCAATGCCTTCTACCGGCTCAACACTCTCATTTGTAGTTTCTTGTTGTGTTGCCGCCGGTGTATCTTCAATCGGAGTAACTTCCATTGCCAAATTTTCATCCAAATCATTACTTCTAGCATTCGCATCTTCCGTGTTGGTGTCCATGTTGCTGTTGGTGTGCTTGGTTGTCAGTTATGTGTATAACTTCGCCGGATTTTAATGGTGTTTTTATTGTTTTTGTTTTGTTTTTTTTGTGTTTTGTTTTTGTGTACCTAAGTATAAGAAAACTTTAACTTCGAACTAGACATCAAAAACAAAACTATTTGCTGTGTTCATCTACTGTCAACATCAAGCTTTAATAAAAAAATAAAAACTTCTAGCAACGTTGTCGATTTACCAGAAAAAGCAACTCCTACACCTATTTCGCATCTCGCACGAATTGTGGCCAGAATCAATGACATGACGAATGTGTTTTCAGTTCTGTCGATTGCCTGTGCTTGTTCTTCTACTTGTATTTGTGAAACGCGAATCCGGGCCGAATTACATATCTTCTGAAGTCGATTTGCATTACAGCTTCGTTGTGAAATATTCAATCTTCTAAAAATGTTAGAAATATATAACTTTTGCATTGCGCGAGGAAACTTTTTGAGGTCGAGGCGATAAAGAAAAGATATCATAAATAAGACTTTCCATACAAAATGTATGACAAAATGAATTTTCTTCATAAAATTTATTTAAAGAGATTTTCTCATGTTTTTATAGGTTTTCTGCTATTCGAGATGGAGATAAATCCATCGAATCAAAGATCAAGATCAACTGGTTGCGCGATTCTTAGCTTATAAGTGGTTTAACTAACACGAATTTTTGTATATTTATATATACTTAGATTACAAATAATAAAAAAAATAATACCAAAGCCTTGTTTACTTTTGAAAGCTTTTTGTAAAAACGTTTGTTTTGTTTAACGAACAATTAGTTTGGCCAAGTGTGCTTCATACTAAGCTTTCCTCAGAGCTCAGAGAAATTAAAATACATTTAGGGGTTTGATGTTAAAAAATTGTGTTTTTCTGTTATTTCTTTATTTTATATTGTCGTTCGCACAGTACCCACACGTTTGGATATGTCTTTGAATGTATCTCTGAGATTCTGGACGGTAGCTCGCTTTTCTTTTAATTTTTTAATAGTGGCATCATAATCGAACATCAGTGTTGGCATGGCCAGTAGGCCGCCCTGATATGTTAGTTCGTTGCATTTTCTCCGAATAACTCCCCGTTCCAATTTCAGTTTGTAAAGTTTGTCCCGTAAGTCGTGTTGACGTGCCTTCTTGATTTGCAATTCATCTCTAATTAGCTCCAGTTTGTTTTGGAATGAGAGTGTCTTTTCCTTGTTGTGTGCCAATATGTGGAGCTCCCTGTGATAGTTTGAGTGCAGTTTCTTCAAATCAGCGTTTCGCTCTGTTCGTAATTACACCGGATTTATGAATGTATGTTAAATCGTTTAAGTACTGTAATTAAATATGTATGTACCTTCGAGTTTTTTGTCCAAGGCCTGAACCTCATTCTGTATGCTAATAAAATGGGTCATGCTGAGATCTTCAGTGATTTGCTCAAAGTGTTCAATGCGCTGCGAAGTAAAAATTATTATACTATATAGCATGTACTTTAACTTTTTAACTGTACTATATAGCATGTATTTTTCCAGCTCGAAACTTACCTCATCCAGACGTCCCAGCGTGTGCTTCCTTGTGATTAAAGACAAACGTGTATCACTTATCTCGTTGCGCATATCGGCCATCAGCTTAATTTCACGATTAATCATACGCTTCAAGAAATCGGAGTCTTTTCTTAAGATGCCGTTTCGCATCGCTACTTCAAGATCGACTTCAGTGGACATGGCTATATTTTGCACATATTGTAGATCCATTAGAGTAGCGGAATTAAGGTAGGCGTTGTTCTTCTTGGCAGCTGCTGCTATTTTTTTTGCGTGGTCCATTCGTTTCAAGGCAGTTATGTACCTGAGCTTTTCTATGTATTCTACATCAGGCGGTAGCTTCATAAGTGAACGGGTGGATTTTACTCTCTTTAAGTATTCGGTAATCTTGGATAGAGTAGCAATATTGATATGTTTTTCAACAATATAGCGCTCTACCACCCGGCTTAGTTGATATATAAGCTTTTCTTTATCCAGACTACGACGCAGACGATTTTGGGGCTCAACTAATTCGGATCTTTGAACAACGTGTTCAATAAGTTGGGCTACCAGTTGATATACTACAACTCGCAGCTCGTGCTCATGTCTGAACGCTAAGTTTTCTAGTTTCTTTTCTTCGGTTGGCTCCAATAGACTTTGTGTGAAATCGCTAAATAAATTGTATTCGTCTTCAGTGGGAATTGTAGGGGCTACTTCAATATCAGCGTCCAATAAATCATCTTGATCCTCATCTTCCGCTTCCTCTTCCTCGACAACGTGGTCTGAAATTTCCTTACAGCTTTCTGATGATGATGAAGTCAATACATCTCCGGTCAAAGGATCTACAAAGTCGCCTTTATCTTCATCAGGATATTGTGAAACTCGCGTGGAGCTTGCAGCCCTTGACATCAATTTCATATCTGTCTCATCTTCCTCTTCGGAGATCTCGGATATATCAGGGATCTCTTCAAAGTTAATTAAGAATTGTTTTTTCAAATTGACCGTGTCTGCTGGTTTCTCATAATGAATTGAACCTTCTGATTCACTATCGCTGTACATTTCTTCTCCATCGTCTGCTAAAGCGTCATGGGCTAAGATTTCATCATAGTCCTTGTCGAATAACTTGGTGTGTCGTGAATCTTGCCTTGACAAGCTGCCAGTCCTAACATCGTTCCGAGTTTCTTCTTCCACAAAGTCTTCTTCGTCGCACTCTGTATCAAGTGGGGTTCTTACTTCGCTTTTTGAGTCTCCAACTGTGAATCGAGCTTTCAGCGCATCCTTTAAATGATACCGACGTTTGGGTTTTAATATTTTATGGGCACTGTTTTCGTCTTCGCCTTCTCCTTCTTCTTCTTGTTCTTCTTCTGCATTCTTAGGGACATCTGAATCAGTCAACATATCCGTCGTCGGTGGTGCGATTTCTTCAGTGCCTTCCACCTGTTCCACATCTTCAGTTGCAGTTTCTTGTTGTGTTGCTGATGGTGTATCCTTAATCGGAGTAACTTCGACTGCCAAATTTTCATCCAAATCAGTGGTCTTAGCGTTTGTATTCTCCGTGTCCTCTGTGTTAGTATCCATATTGTAAAAGGTGTGTCTTATTGTGGGTTCTAAGTGTAACTTAAGTGTTTTTTAACCTTTTTTTGTTGTGTTATTTTTTATGTTGTGTTTTTTTGTTTTGCTTGTGTACCTAAGCACTGGAATGTACCTAATAATGGAATGACATTATGTACAGAGTTTACTTATACTCTTTTTGGTATCATTGAAAGAATTACGTTACTTTCAAGATACTTCTGAAACAATATGGACTAGCTACATTATTTTAAATCACATATTGCTGAAAATTATTACACCTTCTTGCAAGTTCATTAAAAATCAATAATCGTTTCATTCATAAGGTGTAAATTATAATTGTATTGTACTCCATTGACTTGGAACATAAGTCGGACCTTAATTTTGAACCGATTTCAATATTGAGGGCAGAAAATATTCTGGCACAGTACTAATAGAAAGATAATGCGCAATTAATCGTTGCATACTCTACGGCGGGGGAATAAATTGTATGAACTGCTAAGAAATTTGAATTTGCTGAACCAAGATAACAAATGAGTGTAAAAAATACATCAGGTTAACAAATATGTTTCACCACAATTAATTACAATAACATTGATTGGTGACGCTGTCGAAAACTCTGTGGCATTGGTTAATATTTGATATTTGAATAAAAGCCACACCCATACTTAATATTTTTATTCTTTTCTGTATGTTTTTGTTTTTACTTTTTAGTTATTTTTGCATATTTTGGCAGCAGTTGTCGACTTTGATTCAACTCCTCAGCCAACTGATTTGAATAAAATGCTGCAATGCCGTACCCAGGCTAAAAATCTACTAACGAAATTCGTTTTTGTTTCATAAAAAGAAAATAAGTTGAAGTGTGTATTTAAGCTGTGGGGCCGTGTTACCTTTCGTGTGTTTAAAGTTCAGCTGCTTTGATTTGCGACCTGGCTTAAGAAAGACAAATGCTGTGGTCTCTTTTGTGTCCAATGCCATTGATCCTAATGCTAAGCCTGCCAAGCGTAAAATGTGTAAATTCACTTAAATTATGCATGCGCTTTTGTGTTGCTTAGCTCTCGACTTTGATGTTGCTCCTATAAAATGGAAATATGTATTTGGAGTGAATAACAAACGATTTCAATGAAGCTGCTTATGGAATATAGAGCTTGTGCGTTCATAAATTGGCTTGATTTGACTTATTTCAGCAAACTTACCCTTTCAGTAAAATACTTTTAACAAGTTGCTTTAATTCAAAGAAAAATTTCATATGCATTTCTTTGCTTCATTTTATTGGGCACAATGTATTTTTTTTGACGGCCCATAGTCACAAAAATTTCAGTGCGTTTCGCAAATATAAGCCGCTTGTTATTATTCTGTGCGTCTGTTATTCTTGCCTTCTAAGCGCTTTTGCATTTTACTGGCACTTCCATTCAACACAATGGTGTTGTGCAAAAGGCGTAAAGCTGTAAAATATATTGCGTGCGCAACCAAATAACAATAAAAAGCAACAATGCTCTATGCAGTAGAAGCAAGACACTTGAAACCTTTGCTCCCAATTAAAGTGTTTCACTTAGAGTACAGCTTTGAGTTCTGTCGCCAACGGCACATTAACTGATGTAAGACGTTGAATAAACTGACATATTCCTCGCCATTTTGCATGCACATGTGACCAACTTGAATTTGGCAGGCTGCTCACGTTTTGCATTAAGCTCGCGTTATTTATAATCATTGTGCGCAGGATTGTGTATCCTTTTAGTTTTGTTTTCATTGTGCTCTCGCGCATTATTTCGTTGCCCTTCTCCATGCATTTGACGCCACTGTGTATTAAGTGGTATTTATGGCTTAACAGACTTCCTCTGTTGATGCGTACGAGCTCCGACGAGTTAAGATTGCTATTGGGCTGGCCCATTCAATGTGAACATCGTTCATACGCCCTGTTGCGCAGACATGATAAATTTCGCCTTAAGCTTCATTACAAATATTGTGGCATCTACATGCAAATATTGAGGCACATTTCGCCATTTACAAGGAAGTAGTTCAACCGGCCTTGGATGCTGAAATATTAAAATTATAAATTGCTTTTTATGTTTGATTGTCATAAGCTAGAAAGGCAATTGACGCCAGTTATAAAACGTATTTTTCTCTCTTTGCGGTTTAATTTATATTTTCGTTATTTTTCTTCTTTTTTGTTGTCAATAAGCACAAATTACGCGTCAGACGTTGCTGATCATGTGGATTACAACTGTGCACTGCACAGTGTGAAATTTCTATAAATCCAAGTTGTTATGCTAGGAATATATCTTCTTTTTTTTGCCCAGCTTAAATAGGACCGTGGCTTTTTTTCTTGCAGCATCAACTGCTTGTTACTTAAATCAGTATTAAGAAGTTGAATTTAGCGCGGGCAAGGACTGGCAGAAGGATGCAAATGCAGAGCAGATCCAATCATTTAATCCAATGTTTCTGTTATTATATCTCATTAAAGGAATGTGACTTGATTATCTGAATAACTATTTATTTTTATGTAGACCATGTTATTGTAAGGTGAGATATTTGCCACAGTTTACTTTCTTTTACTCCACATCCACAAAAAAAGAAGAAAAATGTATTTTTTCCATTAGAATATATTTAGAACAAAAACTTGTATAATCGATCTGGAAATCTAGAGGGGAATTCAATGCGCTGTAATCTGGGATGAATGCTTATCAGCTTTGTTTTTCAATGTACGACTATGTGTTTCGCAGAATCCAATTTGTGATAATTATACATACATGTGATTTAATTTGAATAATTTTGCAATCAGAGCCAACTAAATTGCGCAGTCTATAAAAATATGCAAATAAATAAATTGTTCCTACTTAAATTGGGCATGACTGGCACGCAAGTGTTAAATTTAGTTTAAATATAATTTCAGCTTAATTTACACAAATGGCTATCACGTTGTAAGGCCCTTTCTCAACGTTAAAACGTCGGCTTGTGGCAAAATACAAGTATAAATATGTATGTATTTATATGCACGCAATCATGCACCGCATACATATTTGCTTATCAAGAATGATTTGATTTTATAATTACACTTAAAGCCGTCCGCCAGTACGGACTGCTACAACAACAACAACAACAGCTAAATACTACGGAGTGATAATTTGCAAAGCGATTGAGATAGTTCATAAGAAAACGTAGACGACGGCAACGATCGCCAGTTCAAAAACACAAATCGCCGAGCGAGGTTATGAAGAGTGTGCTTAAATAAAAGAAATAACGACATACGAGTAATCATCAGCCGTGACCCACAAACGCAAAATCCAAGGATTAGAAAATAAACGTCATTGTGCAATATAAAACAGTTGCAGCAGCAATTAAAATGCCTAATACTTGGCCCAAGGTGTGGCTGGCAATAGTCCTGCTGGTGGGTGTTGCTTCCACTCTGCCCCTAGGCGGGGACTCCGGGTCCACGGATGCTGCGGAAAGTGATGAACAGCTCTTGGAGCAGTTAGATGGTGCCGCCCCATTGGAATTGGTGGACCAAACTGAGAAAGTTGCGTTAGTTGAATCAGAAGAGGTACTCCATAGAGATGAGGAAGCGCTGAACAGTAGCAGCGGCAGTAGTGATGAGCAAACAGAAGCGAAACGGGATAAAATATATGCCAGCTTGGACCAAATTCGTCGCAAACGCTTCATAGAATTCAAGAAAGTGGACGATGAGTTACGACGCGCAAGGCGCAACCCAATTGAGGATCCTGATCCAGTGTCGACGCACAATCACAATGAGCCTGGTGATCATCCAGACCAAGTGGCACATGAACATCTAGGAGATAAGCATGTGCTAAGATTGCGCCGTGGATCTGATAAAGATGAAAGCGGGTCTTCTGAGGAAAAGGGTGAAAAGAAAAATAAGGATGAAAGCGGGTCTTCTGAGAAAAAGGGTGAGAAGAAAAGTAAAGAACAGGACTCATCAGAGGAGCAAAAGAAGGACGAACACGAACAGGCCAGACGCAGGCGTGCAGCTGAATCAAATGCCAGTGGCTCATCCGAGGAGCCAAGTGACAAGAAAGAAAAGTCGCATAACTCTTCAGAGGAGCAAAATAAGGGGGAATCGGGACAGGCCAGAAGCAGACGTGCGGCTGCAGCAAATGTCAGGGGCTCATCTGAGGAGGTCGATGAAAAGAAAGAAAAGCCGCAGGACTCATCAGAGGAGCAAAAGAAGGATGAGCCTGAGCAGGCCAAGAGCAGGCGTGCAGTCCCAGATCATGCAAGGGGCTCATCTGAAGAACGAGATGACAAGAAAAGTGCCCGTCCTAAACGTGTACCTGATCAGGACTCCAGTAGCTCATCGGAGGAGAATGCTGAGAAAAAAAATAAATCTAATTCAGCAGATTCGTCCGAGGAGCAGCAGAAGCCACAGCAGTTGCAACCAGAAACCGAGGCAGAGACTGAAACTCCGGCCCGACGCAGACGCAGCGTTGAAGTCCAGGATGAACCGGACACACAGACAGACGAAGAAATGCTGAAGGCAATTGGAGAGCCGGGCCATGCCGCAGACGATGAAGAAAAAATGAAGACAAGCATTGAGGACTATGCACAGGGCTGTGAAGTCATGGAGGTGAACTCCAAGGAAGCCAATGAGGCAACCTACATGGAGTAAAAAAAAAGCTACAGGGAACACAATTTTTTATTTTTATTGAGGCAAGAAAATCGCGCAGCTGTACACTTTTGTAAATAAACGAAATAAAAACAAAACCAAATTATGCATATACTCGCACATAACAATGTATATATACTCGTATATATACATACATACATAAACAAATATCAAGCGTTTCGCATCTTTACATTTTGTTTGGCGTACCTTGCTCCTGGGTCTTATCAGTAAATGCCTTTCTGACATGTCTCACCTTTGCAAAGTTTCGGCGTCGTCTTTCGTTTGTTACGAACACAGCGCCCAGAACATTGCTGGGTTATGCTTATCAGCAGCGGCTTTGTCTGTCTGCCTGCAAGGGCTGACAGCCAATTTGATAAAGAGTTTGGCCTTCCTCACTGTACTCTTGCCTTTCAGTGGACAACGTTGAAACTGACATCGACGTTGGCTCCGTATGCGTGTCTGACTCACACCTGTGAACCAAATAATTGTGAAGATGGTCATATAAAAGACACGCTTGTATAATCGAAGTATGCTAGGGCTATTGTTGGCGATATTAGTGCAGTACTGATTGTTAAGATTGAGGAGTACACTTTGATAGCTTATAGCATTATACGTTATAATAACTTAAATGCGGTTAACGAAAGAATCGAATGCTAATTTATTACCATGGACGCTGTATTGTTAACAGAATTAAGAAGGAACTATAGAGCTATTGGTAGAGACTATATATGGGCATTTCTCTAATGTCGATTGAAACATTCGTACGCATTCGAAGTGAAAAAAACATAATTTTATTTTGACAAAAGGCGAAAGTTGTAGCTCTTGACTAGATCTTCTATATAAAAGTAATTGGTGCTTAGTTGGATTATTCCAGATAATTTTAATTCACACGACAAAAACAGAAGTTGCTTTCACGGCGAACACTTCAAACAATGATATCAGCGAAGGAATATTTTAAAAATATATGTGAATATTTTTATGTTATGCATTGACGTATCTTATATAATTTGTTTTATAATTTTTATATATTTTCCTCTTATGTCGACCATCAATTTTTGTCTACATAAAGAAATAAATAATAATATTTTTTATCTTATTCAAAAATATTAAGTAGTTTAATTATTATTTAATTTTAATCACTGTCGCACGTGACATTTTATGTATTTTTTTACTTTACTTGTATATGCAATTAGATGATTATAAATGATTTTAAATATGGCATATATGTAATTAATTTATTTTATCGGAACAGAACGAATGAAACTGGGTTATCGCCTGAAATAATATTTTTTATTTGCCATACCATTACGCTATTTACGAGAAAACTTGTCCAAAATTTTAATCCATATATATATATATTAAATTTGTTTAATAATCTCAGTAAAATGAAAATTTTTGAAACAAGTTTTTTTTTTATACAATTTCCACTAATGATGTCGCATGCGACAAACTTTTAAAATGAGCCAATAGCGAAGCGTTGATTGTTTTTCATTTATTTATAATTTGCAATAAAGATAAATAATAAAAAAATGCGTTTGTAACCAATATTTGGCAGTCTTATACAAATAACTTTGACGCCCTGATAAAAAATGCAACTTTTCATTCCCATTATGAAAACAAAACAAAACGTGTAACAGAAATGTTGAAAACAGAAATTTTGTTCGACTTTCCATTTGAATTTTTCGAAATCTGTTTTGAATTATTGTGCAATTTGTTTACATTAATTAAATTTGATAGATTGTTAAAACATCATACTTTTATAGACTTTGAGTTTCTTTCTGTGGAACTGCCCATATACTTTAATTTAGCAATATAGTATTACAAGTATGTTAGTCCCCATTTATTTTTATTTCGCTGGGTATTGTAAAAAATAACAGACACTATATTTGTTTCCGATGAACAGCGTTTTTCTCCAACTTCAACAAACAATTTACACGCCACGCTGAATTGTAGGAACCAAGGTTCGAAGATTTTACGCCAGCACTGTGAAATGAATAAAAATACACAATCACATAGTACGTACTTATACTATATTTAACCATAATATTTCGTAAAAAGCAGCCACAGCCGGCAAACTTTTCATGGACCTATCCCAATGCCTGGGATGGAGCACGACAAAAAACAGAAACCGCATGCCAACTACAAGTATGAGAACATGCAGCTGAGGAGAACAAAGGCAAACTTCTCGAAATTATTTTGGTTGTGCTTTTTAGTCGCCCGAGTCGAGTGCAGTCGTGTGGAAGCCCAATAAACTGAGTCCGAGGCGTGCCTTTACTTCAGCAAAATAGCTGCTCCAAATATATACATTAAATTTATTTTATGTGTGAAAAAAGGGCTAAATAGTTTTTATCGCCTAATTGAAAGTGCACTTTAATTTAGTTGGGGCGTTATATCTTGAAAATATCTCATGCTCGCCCGTTTTTTTGTTAACAACTAATTCGAATTGTGCAATGCATGACTGATTATATAAGTTGATCACAAAAAACTGAAAGCTTCAACAAAAACTATACCATTGGTGTACTATTCAAATAAAATACTGTTCAACATTTGTGCATCGATGTGTTCGACAAGCCGGCAAATACAAAAATATTTGTGTATACTCGTATGCAAATTTATACAAAAATTTTGACAGCCAGGAAAAAGTTGTGTTGCTGCAAAATAAGATTTGACGCAACAAAGTTGAGAGAGTTGAAGAAGAGAAAAAGAGAAAGAGTATATTATTCAAATTTAAAAATAAAACAAGCAAGAGCGCAGAGCAAGAGCTGCGAACGAAGCAAAAACTTACTTGTACACCTAAGAGCAGCGGAGAAAACATTCTGAAGTAAATATAAGAAAAAACATAAACAAACAGTAAACAGCAGTCAGCCAAAATGCCGGAGCCTTTGGGCCAACTGTGGTCGGTGCCAGAGACGAAAAAGAAAGCGCCCATAATCAAGGTATCCTGCGGAATTGGCGACACCGATGGTTTTCCAGCGTTCGATGTTGACTCTGATGCTTATGCGACAAAGGATGATAGCAAATGGGGATTTCTGATAACTGGTGGCGCCGAATTTCATATGCCTCTAACCGTATTTCAGGTGAGTTAACAATTGGGGTGTGCGTGAGCTCAATTTATAATTTTCATTTATATTTTAATATATATTATAATTTATTTGTAATTTGTTATTGCTACTAACAGGAAATGGCCAACGATGGTCACAATTTAATTTGACTTGAATTTCGGATTCCATGCAATGTAAAAGAAATAACAACTTGGGGCTTCAGTGAACATGCATTATCAGTTTCTTTTTTTGGAGTTTTTGCTGCGAAATCGGCCTGCAGATTTGGCCATAACATGACAGTTTGAATTTTTTTTTTTAGATAAGAGACCACTCTCACAGAATTTTTTTAAGCTGTTAGTAATACTGATTTCTATGATAAGTACTTGGGAACGAACTCACCTTGTAAGGTTCCTAGCAAAAAACACAAACCTTATTTAATATTAGCATTAACAATAAGTTAAATAAATCAATGAAATAGCTATACAGGGTTTGAAAAATGTTGACACTGAATAACAAAAAACACATTAAATAATCGTGCAATGCTTGCTTGAAAGAATTTGCTCACGCCACATCTCTATTGTACAGGGATAAGCGCCATGGCGTACAGCAACAAGAACAACAACTATAAACAAAAGCAAAGCAACAGTTATGAGCGATTTCTTTACGCGCGGTTAAATATGCATGAAGGGCCCGTTGGCTGTGCCACTCCCCTCCAACAGGAGCGTGTGAGCTGCGGCATGTGGCGCTGAAATTAAAAATTGATAAAAAGTCATAATGAAATCTATTTATAAGATATGCACTATACATTGGTACGAGTATGTGTGTAGAAGCTCGTGTACAAGTACATGGGCATGGCAGCTGCATGATTTGTAAACAATTTAAATAAAATTATACACTGCTCTTATAGCCAAAATGTAATATTTGGTTGTTGACGTAGGCAACAGCTGCCACCATTTGCCATCGTCATTGTTAGCGACAGACGCCCCACATAGCCGCACCCGCATCCACACCCGCACCCCGACCCGCATCCGCATCCGCAACAGTGCTCATAAGCATGGGTGGGCCCGAAGCCAATGGCCAATTTGAAATATGCCGTGACGAAAGCGCGCTCTGAAAATTTGTGGGCAATGCGAATGGAAGCGAAGTGAAATGCATGCATATTGGATTATTTTGTGGCTAATGCAACAGGGCGTATGAGTAACAATTGCTGACTTGCGTTTGACAGCCTGCCTGCCGCTCGGGCATTTTTTTCAACTACTGTCGAGTGAATGTACAATATTTGGGTTAGAAAAGTTCTCTATATTTGAAAATATATATATACATATGTGTGCATATGTATTGGTCTTATGTACATATAGATATAAATGTGTAAAAATATATGTAGGCTTGTGGGTATTGCTTTCGGTTTTGTTAAATTTTACTTTTGACGTCTGTGCCATTTGTTTGCTTTTAAGACACACAATTCGTATTTTTTTCTGGGCTAAAAGGCATTGTCGAACGGACATGGTCGACTTCACAAACACTTAGCTATTTGAAGAAAATCGTACTAAACATTTTAGATAGACGATCAACTGATGGTTTTTATTCAGTTATTTTATTCAGTTTCTTGCAGCACTTTAATAATCGTTCATTGTTGGGGGCTAACATTATTGGCTTACATTAGTTTAGCTTAAATGATAACTAGATGTTAAGCAGATGTGAATAATCATAATGAATAATAATAACAAAAACAACAAACAACAATAATTTTATTGTTAAGTATACCTAAATTTTGATAAACAAAAAATAGTAAAAATTAATAATGAATATAATGAACATTTAACTAGAATCTTCAGTCAGTTCTAAGACCGAATAGTTCTCGAGGGAATACATTTGTTTGTGGAAAGCAATTTTCTTTGTAGACATTTTGCATATTCATATATACTGTAGGGTGATCTGCGAGAATATATGACATGATATCGCGCATATGCGTAGCCACTAGCTTGATTCTTTTATATATACATTTTTACATATATATCCACACATTAATCTGTGACTGTCGTTTTCATGTATATATAGTTATGTATATACGAGTATCTATATATATATATAAGTATATATATGTGTTCATATGTACTTTGTTCAATTCGAACTACACAATATTTTGGTCAATTGCGCGTCGACACTCGCGTCGTCTGGTGATCGGTCAGTAAAGCAAGCAAGAAAAGTGAATGACGGCCGAACTTAATATTTAAAATTTAAATAATTTTAAAAATTTAACTATTAGTTATTGTAACTAATATGGCATATTATAACACCTATCGGTTTTCATTGTATGGCAGGTAACACCTGATGGTCTAGCCGATAAATCGGGCATACGTCTGGGCGACATAATTCTCGAAATAAACGAAGAGGACGCCACGCATCTGACGTTGGCCCAGGCACACGAGAAAATCAACGCATCGCCCAAGAAAATACACTTCCTTCTGCGAAAGTAGGTTGCACTTGCACTTATTTGTTGTGTGAGATTCAAATGCGCTTTTTGCTTATATAATGTACTTATCACAGCATGGAGGAGGACGATCCATTGGGAATGTATGAGGCCGGTGAGGAGAAATCGATTGTGATGCGCGTGCCGAAACCAATGCCACCACCTAGTGGTAAGTGTTGCATTTACATACTCCATTTGCATGTGGCCGTTGCCATTGCCATTGCCATTGTCATTTCGATTTCCCATTTTCCATCAACCATATTCAAGTAAGGATCCATGTCTCAGCTAACCGTTTGAATGCCTTATCAGCTTGTCTGAAGCACTAACAAATCGTTATCTCTTTGCACATGCATTTCTCTCTGTACTCACTCGATTGTTATTTCTTTTTGTAGACTTCCACCCAACCCCATTGCTTGGCTCCCGTTGTTGGCATCCAATAATGTGGCAAGAGCCACCAGAGCCACCCAAGCCCAAGAAAAAGAAAACTAAAACCGAAATCGATGAAGAGGGCAACGAAGTGGTGGTCGAATTAAGCGAGGATGAGTCCTCGGACGAGGAAGAGAAGGTGATTGAAATGATATTGCAGTCTATCTGCTACTGCCATTCGCTTACTTGCACACACTCGCTGGCAGCATTTGGCGCTTAACTTAAGTGTTTGGCCAATAACTGCAAGCCCTTTCAGCAACATATTTCATGCCAACAACATTGGAAAGCAATTGAATCAAGCACTCAACCAACTAACACCTTCTTTTCGTTCGTTTCTCATTTCTTGATTTACCAAACCCAACAAACACTTCACCAATCACGATTGGAACCGTCCCAGGAGCTGCCACATCATCGCATTATTAGGAACATAAGGCGCTTCTTTGCGGAGGTCGGCGATAACCAAGAGTTGCGTAGCAGTACCATTGAGAACATGCTTCTCGCCTTGCCCAGTGCCTCGAAGTCGAAGTGATGTGGCGTGCATTGAATCCATTAACCCATTATGCCTGCATAATTAACGTTTCTTTTATATGTACATACTTTGTGCTTAAACCCAAAATGTTTAATAATAAATATCGGAAATGAATATATTGCCATTTGACTATTTAGCCTATGCGCTGAATGAAATGAATATAAATGTACCTAATTCTGTTTTTACGCGGTAGATTGGTTCCGGAAACAACCGTGTAAAAAAAGACGTTGTAAATATGCGTAAATAGGTGATTGGTTCTTTATCTCTACAGAAATATATATGCAAGTTTTAATTTTCAAGCCGTGTTATATCAAAATAGTGTAAAAAAAGACCGTGATGAAAATTAAAAATTGTATATATGGTTGCACGACTTTATTCCATTTAGCACGATTCAAAATAACATATGATCAAGGTTTTTTTACACGACTTTTTCTGGAACCAATATACAGTGTAAAAGCAGAATTAGGTGTAATTCATGTATTTAGAAGAAGCTAGAGTCATTTCATTACATTGAGAGTTGTTGATCAAATTTCATTGGAGCTTAATAATACCCAGTCCTAATAGGAAAACAACAAAGGAAGTTGCAGCAAGAAGTTAAATCTCTGCCAGCAGTTTTGTTACTGCTGCTTTGGTTCAAGTTTGTTCTCCACATATAGGGCTTTAATGTAGCATTCCCTTCTTGTTTAACTACTATTTCTTCAGAAATAATAAATAATAATGGAGAAAGGGGTGCGTATTCGCATGCTGATGTTATATGTAAATACAAGTATGTAAATGTGTTGCATGATGAAACTTATAATCGTTTTGCTTGATTAATCCATGATCTTACTATTTGAAAGGCATAGCAGCTCTTGCATCCCCAGCACTGAAAACAGCACAGTCGGTTCGCGTGACAGCCAGCTCGATTGAGTTTCGGCTCCTTGAGATGCAGCGCAAGTTGTCGCAAATTGCCGAAATACCGAAAATATTGTCGTCAACGTTAGCCACCGTGTCGCAGACCTTCGACAAGTTAACAGCAACGGAACTGGAGGCAGCTGCTTACGTGCGACGCAAGTGCTCCTACGATGAGGATGTCATAGACTATGAACTGAGCGATGTCACGCAAACGGATGTTGAGGCAGCGGAGGACACGGACACGGGCACGGACACGGGCACGGATATGAACACAGATGTGGATGGCAACGACGATGACAACGAAAACGAGCTGAAACAAATCAAGCTGCTAAAGGATGTTACACCGGAATCGGATTATGCATCGGAAGCCAATTACGCGACAAATGAGTCACTGAGCGAGGAGCCAGACACCGCAAGCAGCCTGGCGGGCGACCATGATGTGGACGTCGAAGCGGACGATGTTGACAGTGATAATGCGGTTTACTATATGAAGCTGCCTGCAGTGCCCGCTAATCACGAGGCGGCTTATAGCTCCAACGACGACGAGCATGTGGACTTTGACGATGATGAGGAAGGTGAGAATGATGACTGCGATTTCTTGAGCACCACTTACACGTGGAACCTGCGCAATGTTCCCAAATTGCGTGTAAGCGATGCTGACGAGTACGACGTGTACGATTTGACACTGAGGCCAACAACGCCACCACAAGAGGAGCATCAGACACAGCGGAGCGTTGACAATAGCGCCATCAATGCCGGTGTTCATGACACTTCAAAGGTGCGCGCCGCCACGCCTCTGGCAAGTGACAGCCACGCGCCGCTGGAGACCGAGGTGCCGACGCAGAAGGTAAAGCATAAGGCATTATTATTATAAATCCTGCCATTGACATATTTGTTCGTATGTGTGCACAGCTGCTGTTCAAGCTGGATAACTTGGAACGCAAATGGCCCTGGGCGGACCGTGAGAAAATCATCTACAAGTAAGTGGCGCTATCCAATTGCCATTGATTCATTAATTGTTTCCATTCCTTCTTTGCAGACAATCTACTTGTCATTTGGTGCCTCGCCAGCCCTTGGGTCTTGTAGGACAACGCATTCAGCTACTGGCCAAGAAGAAGTTGTTCGTAGAGCCTAAGACACAATGAGATAAGTGCTATGTTGAAGAATTTTAATGTAGTTCATTAAACATCACATTTTACCTTAATTTATTATTACTTTTGGGAAGATCGATCGTGAATGAGTTTTTAAAATTAAATTTTAAAACATTTGACACCTTTGCTATTTTAACTGTTTTATATTATTACTTGTTAGTGACACAAATACAGGGTGCGCCATCTTTTATGTCGTTATTAGTGAACCGATTGACTTGAGTAGACCAGTGTTGAAAACCTCAGTTCAAGAAATTGTACAGAACCAAATTAAATAAAAATATCTCATACTTGAAAATCGGTTGTTTATTTTCAAAGATATTCAATGTTTACATATCGACATAAAAGATGGCGCACCCTATACTTTTTATTGATTTGTACTCGTATTCTAGAATGTGTTTATTACTTGTATACGCAAAAAGTTTATTAAAAAAATTGAAACTATTTGCTGGTGCTAGGATCATGCAACTGGAATCACACATGTAGTTATGATGGACGCACCTGTAATCTAAATTAAAGCAATGCAAAGCAAAGCAAGGTGTGTGGATGTGAAAAGAGCTGGAAGAATATACATTTCGGTTTCATAATGCGTTTAAAACTTTTGTGTGGAAGATGCTGAGCTGCTTAAAAGTTTCAGTTCTAGTTATTGTTGCCATGTTGAGTGTCTTTTTATGAGCCGAGCCCTGAAGTATGCAACAGTCTCTTGCAGTGCTCGGGTATTTTCTGGAATGAAAGGAGGAATTCACACAAAAATGCGCATCAGAGCGGCAGGCAAGCAAAAGGAATAAAATATGTGTATAAAAGAAACACAAAGGTGCCATGCCAAGTTGCTCAAGTGTAAAGGGGAGTCGCACTTATTGCAATCTGTGTCAATGCTTTGCTATGAAATATACATTTTCTCCTGGTCTTTGAGTAAATCGTCTGATTGCACGCAATTACTTGTAGGCAGCTTAAAGTGCTTAAATATGTGTCTTTTCATGAATAACAAGGCGTGAAAATTATAATTAAGCAGCTCATTTGACGTCTGCCACTTGTGATGAGTACATTTTGCTTGTTACCTACCCAGTTATCCTGCAGTTATCTTTATGAGCTGTGTTGCAGGCAATACAGCCGCTTAAGAAGCACGTAACAGCAATATTTACAAAATATGAAGCTGGCGGCTTGCCTGCTGGTGCTCCTTAAGTACTCATAAACTGCCACTTATCGCACAACTGTACATGCATAAAACATGGCGTCATTTTGTAAGCGTCGCCGACTGCCGTAAAAGCCAAAGTAAGTGAGGCATGCTGCAAAAAACAGAGGCAGCTAGTGGCATATTTCATGTGCCATCTAGAAAAAATTGCATGAGAATGCCACTGCCAAGCTGCAAGAAAAACCATGATGTGCAATAAAAGGCGTTCCTGTGGGGAGCAATGAGGTTGACGCATAGTTGTACTTTAAAATAATGTTGCTTAAGCAAAGTATTCCACATTTGTAGGATCATGCCTTACTTCAGGAGAAAGTTCATATTTTGGAGGTTAAATTAAAATTGCTTTCAATATATTGCTCCATATTGAAATAAAGTATATGATTTTCTAATGTCTCTGTTAAGAGGTCGTGTGTATAGGTCTCAATTCTGATAAATTAAGAAGCTTGCAGCAGAAATCCCTTGGAAAACTTAAGAAGCGGATAACCAGCTATCTTTAGTTGAATTAAGTCGAACTAATAGTCCAAATTTGTAGCCACTTATATGAAAAGTGTTTAGACCGTTGTTTATATTTATATGAGAAATAGAAGATTATCTGCTATTACAAATTTAAAAATTAATTTTTACTTTACAACTTCAACTAATCATTACTTGAGAGCAAAAAAATGAAACTCATAAAATAATGATTATTCTGGGAGTTGTATGATTTTTGATTAAAATTTGAAACAAAACTAAAGCTGTAATTTTGCCTAAAATTTTGTTTAAGGACTTTTTTTTTTAGCAGGGAACTCCATTCTAGTGGTTCGTCTTGGCGTTTTGTTATATGATGTAAATAAATGTTGTCCCTATTCCCTATAAAAAAGGCAGGTACAATTACAAATTCAGGTTTATTTTTGATAAAAAAAAACAAAATTTAAAGAATATTCATTATTTAATGAGTTTTATTTTGTTTGCTCAAATAAACGATTGTTAGTTAAGTTGAAAAGTAAAACCCAAAGTAATTATTATATTGTGAGCGAATGAATAAGATTAAAAAATAACCATTGTTTTGTTACTTTTATAATAGCATTTATAATGATTACAGTTACTAGAATTTTGTGCTCATGGCGACTTAAAAAATACTTTTTGAATGTCACCGGCAATACATATATATTTATTTGCAATTTTTGATTAATAATAGAATCTGGAAAAGAGTTATGTGCTACAAGGCCTTGTACTTCATGAGTACTATACATTCGCGTGAGTTTAAAGCCCTGTTGAAAATAAGTGCTTTAACACAATTCAATGCAGCCTTCTCGCAAACTTTTTTGCTGGCTTTTATATGTGAAGTAGCAAAAGTGGCAGCTGGAAAATGTTGTTGGCGAATTGCAACACAACATCATTAAAATTGCACGTTCAGCCATCCAGGTTGTTATTGTCGCAGTAGTATAATAAAAACAGGTTGAACAGTCGCCGTCAAAGTGGCAAGTGCCAACTTATAGGACAACAAATTTCGCTCAATAAATGTCAACAAATGTCGAGTGGTGCCCATTGTTGTGGTTATCGCTGCCGCCACTGTCGCTTCATTCCCTACTCCCACTACTGTCCTTTTGTTCATTCAACACGAACCTGTTAACAGGAGTCAAATACAGGCTGAATTTATCACTCGTTCATAATAGCGGGCAGCCAACCGGCGAATATCGTTGGGTTGATAGCGCATTGAGATTGTCGAAACAAAAGCTGTAGAGTTCTCGAAACGGCATTCATTAAATCTACATGTGACGCAATTAGCTCGGCGTGCCTGCAACTGCCACCGCCACAAATGTTGGCCTCTGCTCATGAAACCATTTCGTACAGACTCGCCGACCTATACTCGTATATATGTACATGGGATGTATAAATAAAAACATAGACAAACAAACAAAGGAGCATGCTAATTAGCAACAAGCCGCTGTCTGCGACAACTTTTGTGCAAGTTTGTAGCACCGGAATGGAAGTTGACAAAACCAAGCAGACGGCATTGAAGATACATTTTTGGATATGTTTATAACCGCTTATGAGCTGTTAACAACTGTTTTTGTCGCAAAGTCTGCAAAGTATTAAGTGGCTCATAATTAATTAACAGAGACCGTAAAATTTGTTGTAGGATTGCAAGCAAAATAACTTTTCCAAACTACTTAGGTGTAAAGTAACTGATAGAAATGGTAAATTAAATATCATTAAGTTAACGAAAACTGTATTAAATAAAGCAATGCTGTGGATAAATTTAAAAACCTGATTTTCTAGGTAGCAGCTGTTGGGTTCCATAGTAAATTTAAGCTGGTGAACGCTGTGAATGAACTTATTCCCATTGTTGTTGGTTACAAAAGTAATACACAATTTTAATACTTTAACAATTATTTAATGCTCAGAGTTTCTACTTTTTTACGAGCATCAAAAGTTCTTGATAAAAGAATTACTGATTTATTTTATGGGTAGCCGGTTTAAAGGTGCTGTTGGCCTAACTTTTATAGTAGAAAGGATTCACAACCAAATGTGAATTTTTCAATACAAGCTCGTATACACCAGCAGAAGTTACGAATTTCAGGTAGCCTCAAAAACTCAAAACTAACTGCTGATACATTTATTACATTGCAAGAACTGGAACACTGAATGAACAAAGTTGCAAGAGGGTGTTTTGGTTTGAAATAGTCATAAATACAATCCTTTTAATCATGATATTTAAAAAACAAAAAATATATATATATATTCTGGCTTATCTACCCTATGATGGAAAAAATATTATTTTAGCTTACCGTAGGATTTCAAAAAAGAACAATTTTGTTTTTATACATTTATTATTAAAGTGTATTCGTAGTTACATTTCAGCATTTTCTTAAGCGGTCTACTTGTCAGTTTCTTAAGGAGGTGGATCAAGTTGAAATGTGAGAAAGCTAAGCTTACATATCGTAGAAACATGCATGATACTCAAGACGACAACAACATTGATATTTAATATCCACATAAATTCTTAATTTTAACATTTTCATACATTTGGAAAATTCCGCCGTCTGCCCTTATGGGAGGTTCTCTTTAAATACTTGTATTCTGCTAGTGAGTTGTTGAATGGCCTAATTTGTTCTTCATAATGGATAGTTTTATGAGCATGTGCTGTTTCTGGGTCGCCTAGCCTAGCCATTTTGACTTGATTCTGCACTTACACTATGAGATTTCATTGCTGCTTTGTGATTTCATCTAAATGGGCAACGCAAATTAAATATTACATACTATATACGAATATACATATACTACATCTATGTACACAGACATATATAAGAAGTGGAAAAAATTAAAGATGAATTTGTATCTGTGCTGCTTGTTGAGTTAGCTAAGCTAGTTAAAGCGCTTCGTCGGCCATGTGCTGGCCCATTGGCTGTGTGCTGACAATGACAACGCCACTGGGCTGTCGCAATCCATTGTTAATGCTAATCTGTTGGCCAATATGATGCTGTGTCGTTGTTGTTCCTGTTTCAGTTGTTGTGGTTGGGGTTGTTGTAGTTGTGTTGGTTGGTGCCGCTAAAATTTCAGCAGTATCCTCTGCTATTGTCATCATCATTGTCGGCCCGTCTGCGCCCTCTTCGCCATTTCTTACTGTTGGCAATGCATCGGCGGAAGTGGAGCCGCCGCCGGCTGTCAGCGACATGGCCGCTTCCTCCATAAGCGGCTGTCGTATGCGCGAGTTGTCAATGGTCTTGCGGCGCAGTAAATGCATTTTGTTTCGCAAACCATCGATTATGGCGGACGAAGTGGAGGCTGCAGCTCCTCCAGCCCCTGTTGCCATGCTCTGACTCCGCACACGTTTCTGCGTCTGCTGGGACTGCTGTTGATGTTGATGGTGGTGCTGGTGCTGGTGCGAGGCACGCCGTTTGGCCGACAATTCTTTTAGTCATACCTTTTCCTCACCAGGCAGGGGTGGTCCGCAGCGAACGAACTAAAATCAGAAGAACTGAGAATTTGCTATCATGGTGGTATGGTTGGCAAACGGTGCGCTGAATTTATTGGTAGTGTTCTCCACAATTTTGAGGCATATAAGCATACATAAATGCATATACATAATTAAGCGTAAGGTGTTTATGCTTAAGTAAAAGCCACAAGGGCTGCGAAGCACGACGTATGCCTTATATAGTATGGTGTTGCTAACTATGGTCACGTGCGCCCAACAAATGCGCCTGCCAGTTAATTTCGTTTTAATTAAACGCAAATATTTCACCCCCTAGCATCCAATTTAAGCAGAGCAAATAGCAATAACAATATTAGTGTGCAAGCTTGTGAGCCAATTATTTTGTTTTGTGTATGTGTGCGTGTGCGTGTGAGTGTGAGTGTAAGTGTGTGTCAATTTGTTTGCTTCGATGCATTCATTAGTTTGCATTACTCATACGCGCCGTAACCCAGAGAATAGGAAAAATACGCCAAGCACGAAGCACATAAAATCTTACCGAGACCTGAGTAGCTGTGTAGGAGTTCGTACGCGGCCGATTACTGAAGCACAACATTCTCCACTTGCGCTTCACTTGCGCAATCACCTCGCCGTTGAAGAAGCAGAACAGAGTCGCCACACAGAGACCCTGCAATGAGAATGCCACAGTACTTATGTATAGTATAGAGTGCACAATTATAGTTGACTGTGTGTTTATTGGCCTGTCCAGTCCAATGTCTGGCTATCTGGAGGACCAAGGCAAATAATGTAATTTTGTTTATTTTTCATTTGCAGCCTAGCTCAGCACTCAAATAGTACATATAGTCCATGCTTTCCAATTCATTTTATTTCGGTCTGACCAATTCGAAGGACATGACTTTCTGCAGGGTCTAAGCAATGTCACAGCACTACCAATTGACTGGCAAACCCAATTTGCAGCCATTATGAGTGGAACGTGCGTCTAGGATTATCTCTCTCTCTCTCTCTCTCTGTGTGTGTTCCTATTTCTTTTTGGATGACTGCTTTGTTGCATACTATGTCTGGGCTAAGTGTTAGTGCTGCTCATACGCATCTTTACACAGAAAAAAAAAGTTTAAAAAAATAGAAAATGCACTCAAGTTTAAAGCTAAGACATACATTTTTAAAGGAGTAAAGTTGACGCTAAGCCAAATACAAATGATATTGCTGTCTTTTGTAAATAGATGGAAAACATTTTTGTTCGACTTTGTTAGCTTGACAAAATGTTTTTATACTACAAATATATAGCTTACTACCACCACTCTATGTTTATATAGTATACTAGCGTCCTGCTCCTGCGTTTTTTCTTTGCTATTACTTACTAAGAAGGAGTAAAATTTATGTTGGATATTATTATTTTATTGATTTTTTGTTAATTTTTTGTTTTTTTGTTATTCATTATTAGGTCATTCTTTTGTGTCTTGTAAAAGATATTTGATGTTTTATTTTGTGGTAGCAAAATAAATTGATTTTCAGGAGCTCCGACCCTTGATAGGTCAAGATACAGTAAAACGTTGCTTTCGTATGTCGATTCCTACTAATTCGAAGGCTTGGCCTTGGGACTACCGGAAATTGAACCATATAAATGATCAAATGGGATCATCGGTATCCTCGGTATCCTGGTTATATGAGCTAGTTGACCAGTTGCTGGGCCGTTGATAATAGTTGCTACACTTAAATTGTCCTGCAATTCCTTAATAAGCAGTCTCGTCCCATTGCACATACTTGGAAATCTTTAATTTCTCAAAAACATGATTGCAATTCCGAATTTTACCGTGAATTCATGTGGCGGCAGTCCAGAACGGTTTAGTGAATTTAAATGTCTTCAATATCGGTGTCGATCGACTTGTATTTTTTTATTTGGCTGGGAGCTTTTGAATAATATTTAATATTTAAAGTGACAATGTTTCGAGGATGATTATGAACTAACAACATGCTATTCAGGAGTTTTTTAAGGTCATTTTTTTACACCTTTAGTTACATTATTGGCGTTTGAGTAAGGATTCCATTCTTTTTGCAAATATAATATAGCCCATGTTCACCGTCGATAGTGTAGCTTCCCAACAGTGAAAGAATCCATTAAATCCGTCCAGTAGATTCAAACAAACAAACATACAAACAAACAAAGAATCAAATCTTTCCTCTTTATAATATGAGTATAGATTAACTATATATACCAAACAGAGGAATGTGCGACAGCCGAAAACTTTGCCGCAGCTATCAGTCAGTGTTGGCTTTGAAATAAATTTAAATTTTCACCATTCCTAAATTTTTCACAATCAAGACTTTTTTTGGGATTTCCAGTGTACTATATACCTGCAAATATTTGTCGAATCCTATGGCACATTTGTGTCTTGGCCAAATTTAGTTTCGGCTGCTGATTGTGTCTTCTGCGCAAACTTTACATGCATATCAATTGGAATAGGGCTCTTTTGATTGGCAATGCACAAATGGTTTCTTTTTTTGGCATTTTTTATTTACCACAAACAGCTAAAATAAACTTTCGCACATTTACTTGATGCCGCTTTAAGCATTTAAAGCAGACTACTTTGCATTTTTTGTTAGTAGTTGCTAGCAATTTACTTTGTTTTCATTTAATGCTTCTCATGCTGCACACATTTATTTTATTAGCTTGTGCTTTTGTGTTTCTGTCTTAGTTTTAATAATACTGCCAGCTGTGCCCGCTGAGCTCCACGTTTTTGTTATTGTACTCGTATCTGTGGGGCTTAGCAGCATTCTGCATGCATTGTTGTGGTCAGCAGCTGTGCACAGCAGCTATCCAAGGCGGTCAGCACTGACTGCGAGTTGTCTATGCTTGACAGACTTAAGTGTTATAAACCAATTTTTTGCTGCTTGTTAACTATACGTTTCTGAACAACAGAATGGAAATGATATTTAAGAAAGTGCACTGAATATTTTTCAACTAAACACATGCCGTTTATTGCACTTTGGACTTAGGTTACAAATTCTGCGTGTAAATTAACAGATTGCTAAACGGTTTGAAGAAATCATGATGTTTACAGGATATTAGTGCTATAGGTACAAAAATGACGATGGAATAAAGAGCGATGTGCTTATGCTCTCACATGTTTATGTTTCTCACAAGTTGACCAAAAATTGCTCAGAATTCAACTTTTAAAATATATTAGGAAGACAAAAAAGATCAAAGTTTTTTAAACACTATTGTGACTGTTGTTGGATTGTTTTGTTTTCAATTTGAATCAATTTTGAAACCAAGCAACAAAGTGGAAAAACTTGATGAAAAGTCGTTTGTAGAAATCAAAAATGAAGACATAGTTGAAGATTCCTTTATTTTTCAGGAATTCATTCCCCCTGACCAGTTGCTTTATTTTACGTTGGTGGATTGCTTTTGTATAAAGGCTTATACCACCATACTGAAAAAACATTCTAAAACCTCGAACGAAATGCTTTTGTATCGTAAAGAATATTGCATTGCATCGGAATGTCGTTGTTTTAATGAAATTAGTTTAGTTAAAATGTTGAGAAACTAATTAGCAAGACAAACATACGAGTTTGTAGTCTCAGAAATTGAATCGACCTCAAATCACGTCTGTTTTCATTTAAACTTGAAGTCTAAAGCAAATTTCGAGTGTGTGCGTGTGTGTGTTGTGGTGTGAAAATTGCCAGAACATGCTCCTATATTAAAAGTTTGAAAAAGTTGAATTTTAAATTTAATTTAAGCAAGTTATTGTGGCTGCTGAGATGACAAAATGTGTGCTCCCAGTGCTGATGCTTAAAATGTGCACTCCATTTAAAGAAATAGCTTTTTCTTAGAGCGTCGAAAAAGTAGAGCAAATATATTTCTCAATGTTAGTCGGTGCCGTTTTATTAAAATTCCCAGAAGCTGAGGCATTTCATTTGTTAGGCTGCAGAAAATAAATTGAATTTTATTTGTGCAATGCTAGGCAGCAGAATGCGTCGTGGTCAGGATGTTGCCCTCCAGCAGGCTAAGCGCTTCGGGCCAATCTCTTTGTCAGCAAAAATGTCATATCGTTTATTTATCAGTAGTTTACTGCCAATGCCAATTGGCATGTAACCTGCAGCCATTTGCCAATTGCAGAAGAAGATGTGGCAGTAGAAGCAGAAGCCATAAGCATGTTGTCATTGCCAACTTGTTGGGTCTGCCTTCAATTACTGGCGACAAAAGCAGCAGATGCTCTCAACAACAATGACAAGAGCAACAGGAACGACATGTTTGGCTTTTATGTGCACACCAAAACAAAAACATAAATACATAAAAACATAAATTTTCATTTGTCCTAAGCAGAGCTCGGTTTTTCTTTTATTAATGCATTCCGAGCTCAAATTATTTGACATTCGTAGTTATGCCTTTAAGCATCTGCAGATCTTTTTATGACTGCACAATAAAAGCAAATTATATGCGTGACTGAGAATATGCCAAGTTGTTGTTGTTTTTGGCTTTCGTGGGGCGTGACAAACTTTTCACTTTTGTCGTGACGAAAGCTTATTGGATTTTAAATAATTTAAGGGCTTTTCCATTAATTTTTCGCTTTCTCCTGGTCGTTAAAGGGCAAGTTTCTTTTGCCTGCCGCAACAACTGTGGCTGTCGATTTCAAAATGGTTACCAAACTCACAATTTTCGGGCTCGTAGTGCAGTCTGGGTGTGTACGTTTATAGCATTCGTAAAATAATAATTCAACTGCAGCTTAACCACACCCATGTGCCCACAAAACATGCCAGTTTATATTTTTGCATAAACCGTAGCCATAACTCTGCTGTTAGAAGTCAGTTTAGGATTCTCTGCTCTGGTTCTTGTCCTATATAGTATACTCTTTTGTGGCGAAATGGCGGAATGACGAAAGGGCTGGAGTGAGGAAGTAAAATAGTCGCTTTTATGCGCTTACGTTTATTTGCGCTCTTTGCGCTTTGAACTGCTCTTCCCTGCTTTTGTTAGAACTGCATTTTACGCTCAAGTTGTTTGTGGCGTCTTTAGTTTTAAGCGGCAAATTGCACAATGGTGGCTATTTGGAGCGCAAATTGCGCATACGCCATGTTTTGTTTGGAGCAACTTCTTGCAGCACGTGGAAGTAATTTCAGCGTTTTTTATTCGTCAAGGCTCTACTATACTATATACACACATGTTTTTGTGAGCTTTCACTTATTGATTAAATCATTTTGATGTACAAGCATGAGCATTTCAGGACTCTGTTATACGACAGCATGCTGTGCTGCTCTGTGCTGTGTTGTGGGTGATCAGTGTATGTGCCTGGCATTCTAATTAAGTGGCTGTTGCGTATATGATGCCCTGAAAGCTTTCAAATTATCATACCGTACATAGGCTCGAACATATTTATCATAAGGCATAGTGATGGGTATATAGCTTTAGTGCAGACTAAGATCTATCTCGCTTGTAAATTAGATTCAAGTACACAATGTATGGATGCATATAAATAAGGACTTCGTTCGCCGAAAAGCTTCTTCTTTATGCTTCTAAAACTAGGGCCTCCATAGTCACCAATGGATGATTACCAACCTTTGTCCATGACCAAATATGCTAGCACAAAACTATTTCACTGTGCAAACCATTCATGTTAACTATTAATGCCGCACAAGTAGTTCTTGTTGAAGTACTCAGATCATTATATGTTACCAATAAAGTCTATAGGTGCTTGTATTTCTAGAGTATTAACCAGGAACAACAATGTTGGGTATTTAAAAGGTTATTTGTTATAAAAGATTGATAGAATAGATACAATTGTACAGGTGTATAGTTATTGACGAGGGAGAAAACAATTTATATTTTGTTTATTTTGTTATACTAAAAAATATTTTTATAAATACAAATATTCTAAGCCATATCATATTATTTAATAATTTAATAAAATGTTCATCAATGGAACAAAATTAACCTATCAGTTTAATGTAATTAATCTAACAAAATCCACATATATAGTACACAAATATACAAAAATTGTCTCTGATGCTCGTACAACTTCGCCATCCTTATGTCATTTATTTATTTCTGTACAAATAACTACTACTGACATAAAAAAAAGACGAATGCTTTGAAAGCAGGCTTAAGTTGTAAAATAATTTTTTAAAGCGCATTATACTCACTTGAAATGAGGCCGTAAATGCTGAAATGATTTCGTATGTATTCTCCCAGGGATGACCGGGCGCAGGACGAAATGGCGTCACAATGTACTGAAGACCCAGAAGCGGTACCAGAAGCAATGTGGCCCTGTAACAATACTTATGTTGAAAGCGTTGTTGCTGTTGTTGTTGCGTTTATTGCTGCTGTTTTCGTATTAAAATGCAAGTCGACCCGGCGTATGCGTAATTTAAAATGTAAAAACGTAAAATTAAGTAAATTTGTAAGCGAAATGTCGACAGCAAAGCGCCCGTGCGAGCTGTTTGTGAAAGTAAAATAAAATGAATATAATTACGTATACGCCTTGTGGGCCATTATTTTCATTCTTGTTTTTGGTTTTTGTTTCTGTCGCTGTTCAAACTCTTGTTATTGAATTTGCTTTTTGTTTTTAACATGGCTTCCATTCGTGTTGTTCTGCATGTTTTCTCCTATTATATTCGCTTTATCCTGGCCTTGTTGCGATTTCCCATTGTTTTCGAGTTGCTTTTGCTTTTGAATCTGCAATTCACAGTTTCCTTTCATGGAGTAACTTACCGAAATGCCTGCAGCACAGTACGGGAGGGTCCGCAGCTGCCCTGAATGCTGGCTGGTGCATTGAGCTTCAGTAGCACCACACGCACAATGTTGCACAAAAAGAGCAAATTAAGGAACATTGAGATGCAAACGGGCACGACCAGAATGTTGTCAAAGTCCGTGCTGCTCATCCAACAGCTATAGAACAGATATTGCATATGAATGCGGGCATGATTCGATTGTGGCTCGGTTGGGCTAATACTTACTGAACTTTTTGTTCGAGCGTACCGCTCAGTCCACGTGCCATACTGTAGATAAATATGACGATGGCCGGTGAGCCCCAGCCAAAGGCAATCAGCCATTTGACCAGCTTCTTTTCCGAAATAAATGCAGAGACGAGCACTGTATGCAAATAGAAACCCTCACACAGCATCCACGAGTAATTGGTCAGCAGGAAATAGTGCAGGATGATATGAAGCGTCACGCACGAGGCCTATCAAGAGTGAGATGAAATAAACGAATTTTCGTGTGCAATCTAAGCGCCGCTCTTACCGGACTCCGCTGCAGTAACTCAGTGTCCGGCATGACTACCAGATACCATATCAGCCACAGTGAATTGTTTGCGGCAAACGAGGTGAAAAGATTCATGTGAAGCGTAATACGCGCACATTTCAAGGATCTGAAAAATGTAAAGGACATTAGAGTGGTGGTATCCGAGTGAGTAATGTGAAGGTAATTGTGAATACTATGTTTAAAGATGCTGAAGACGAGCTATAATTTCTTTCGGCAATGGGTGTATATTAAATCCACCCGGAGCTTGGGAGAACACAGTTCAGAAGTCGACTCCCCACACACATAACTGCCTATATGTGAGACTTTAGTTGGCCCTCAGGGACGTTGCATAAATTTTGGAAATGAAATGAGTCGAACGTGCAACCATAAACTAAAACACATGCATATGTACATTAATTAATTAAGTGATTATCAGTTGGTACTTGATTAAAATAATGAAAGTAAAACTATGTTATTAAGTTAACATGAACCAAGACAATCATAAAGCTAAAATAGGATCAATAAAAAGTAGGCAAGTTCTTAAGAAAGTTTTTAAGATATCCCAAAAAATAATTTATAGTGAAGAGTTTCTTGATTTAAATAAGGATGCCGTGGACTATGCTAACAATTCTGTTTTCCAATTTCATCTTCATTTACGGAACAAATATTGAAATGCGGATAAGTACATTGATAAGCTACTAACGCAGTAGTTAACGTACGGAACTGCATTTAATTAAAATATAACAGACTGTAAACCAACCGAAAGTGTTTTCCCTGACCGGTAAGAAATGAAATTGTATTTTGAATTACGATGGCTATCAAAGTGCGGTATAAAATCACTTCGAACACTTAATTACTGCAACCGAACAATTTTATTTGCGTTGTCGCACAAACGACTACCAATAAAAAACACTTTCGTTTTATTTCAATGCCACACGTAGACACCTCATCAGTTAAAATGTCACTTGAATGGCTGTCTCCTCTATTTGTTTTTCTGTCTCTATCTCCACCATTGGGCGGTTCTTTTTGTCGAGCTCGATAATAAACAAACCGAAAGCGTACTAATTGCGCTTCAAGCAAGTGGAAATTAATCGATATCCTGCTCGAAGTACTATTACATACACACACTAACACCAACCGATTCCCGCTCGTAAAAAACAATGGCGAAAAACAGCTGCTGCCTGTAGAAAAATACTATTTTCTCATTTCCGTAAACACTCAGACGTCAAATGTGCTCGACTTACTAGCAGATTAAATGCTCGCAAGTAAAAGTCTAATGAAAGTCGAGAGGTGTGACGACACATTCGCACAAATACACACACACACATATATATATATATATTGATTAGATCGCTTGGATATTTGCTGAACAATAAATTTTGGCGCCTCATTTGGCGCCTTTACGGAGCCCGCGGCTTTTTAGTCGTACGTCTCAAACAAATGTCATTCTTCATTACGGCTAAGTGCCATACTACCATGTATGTATATATATAGTATATGAATGTGTGTGTGTGTGTGTGCCAATTTGTAAGCCTGGCAGCTAATTTGTGCAACAGTCTGTTTGCATTCAGCTTGCGTTTGTGCGTTCAAGAGCAAAGATTTTGCATTAATTTTAGTTTAGAGAGTTGCACTTTATTGATGAGTGGATGAGTGGGTGGGAAAATGTATGACTTACTTGAAATAGCCCAGTATGGCAAGCGACAGTAAAATGGCCAAGAGTGAAATACCATAGCCAACCTCATAGATCAAGTTCACGTTGTGTTTAAACTGGCAAGCGAAGCAATTGAGTTAGTTAAGTTGTGAGTCTCTACACGACTCCTTGACTTACCTCCAAGTCATCTAAATTAATGCAGGTCGTGTAATTGGACCAGGTCTTGTTGGTCAGTGGATGCTTGTACCACTCGCCATCAATGCCGCACTCCTTGTGTGCCTCTCCTGCAAATTAAAATGTGGAGTTATTATCGTGATGTTCAGCAATTGATGAGCCATTACATTTGCATACACAATCACAATGTATATTTTAAACAAGAATTTGCATTTTCTGAAACCACAATTTCATTTACAAATAATGAGGTTATACATCCAATTAAAATTGCGAGTGCGTCGTAGCACAATCAAATTTGTTATCAATTTTCATGTTTGGGTGCAATAATAATTACTTTCCATGCCTTGCCACCATCAGAAATAATAACTTTGTGCAAACTTGCGTATATAAACATGGCGCTAGTACGGTTTCACTAATTGAAAATTGGGTCCTGATATATGTTATCGTTATAATTAATTTGTGTGTAAAGGATGTTTTCATAAGACATGTAGGACTGAAAAGGTCTGACGCTAGTTTGACAGCTGTCGATATTTTAACTCGATAAGCTTAGAATATTAACAATGGAGTGCTAGTAAGTAAATTACAAAAAATAAATCGTTCTTGGAAGCAGTGGTTTATGAGCGTCAATTGATGGAGAAAACACACTACCAACAGCATGGAGCCACGTGCCACGGCTACGTAATTTCCTGATTCGAAGATACCAATTGCTGCCAAGATTGAATTTCCTTGTTTGGGGACATTCTTACCCCTTATTAAGGACAACCATACACAAACAAAAGGCTAACAAAAAACGAAAAATAAGCCAAATAGAGGAAGAGTAATCAAAAAGTTCTGTTATGTTTCATAAAAGAAATTTCATCCAAAATAATGATAATCACTTGTTTTCTCTATTCAATAAAAATACCTTGATGCTAAAGCAACTTTTTTAAAGCTGCGGAAATTGGTTCTCTGACAGCGCTTAAAAATAGGCCAAGCGTGCCAAAAACATGAAATACTAAGAATATATGTAAGTATGCATTGGCCGTATTTGTGCTGTTCTTGACAGTTCGTGTGTGGCAAATGCATTAAAGTCTGTTATAAAATCAATGCTGAACATTTGAATTATTCGAAAGGGCTGTCAAAGAAATGAACGTAGACTGCAATTCACTCGCGAACAGCTCAATATAAGTCAATGGGGACAGCAGAGTGTGTCTGCGATTTGTGAGCCATTTGAAAGGTAAAGTTCTTATTGCTTCATTTTGGCACTTTTAAGTTTTTATCGGCAATTGACACGCAAGGCGGTCAGCATTAATGCAACGCGAACGTGGCTGCTGCTATAGTACTATAGAGCACAAAAGCGAAAGCATGCTAGAAAACATCACGTATATGCTCCTTTGTGGGGAGATAAGTACAAGTAGCTACGGAACAGCATGGCTGAAACTCGTCCGTATACATACATACGTGTTTGTACATATGTATTCACAAATACGTATACGAAATCACGCCGCACCACAAACGGCAGCAGTGAGAACCGCTGCCAGTGCTCCACATCCGCCAAGCGGAAGTGCCATAAAAGTTAATGGTGGCACAGTGCAAAGCATATAATCTTGTACAAGTTGGCGACTCGAAGACGTTGGCGCCGACTGTTGAAGAGGACGGACGCGTGGGGTATATGAGAATGTGAAAGTGAACGCATGGCAAAAACGAAAATAAGGCTAACTCTAGTGAAAGCAGGGCTGCAATCCATTTCATTTTTACCAGACTTGGGCTCAGTCGATCCATTCAATTGCCTATCAAAACTACAAGTATACTTGTAATACAAATATTGGTGGGCGAATGCGCAGCATTATTCGTATATTTCAATTGTAACTTTAACCGTTTAGTATTTAGTAGTGAATTTGTAAGCATCTATTAATATTATTTGTTTAATATTTAAATAAAACTGTAGTATTTCATTTAAAAGCTGTTAACAGATAAGATCCGTTGCAAATAGCTGTGATAGCAGCCCTGATTACAATGTTTTAGAATGGAAGCTCTTGTTCAGCGCGTTTGACCCATTTTGTCAACTTTATGCCCTGCAATCGAGCACTAAAAAGTTATATTAGTTATATGCAACTGTTTGTGCTATTAAGAAAGCGTGACTGCACGACAACAGCTAGAATTTATAAGGAATTGGCTTGATGGTAAGCCATTGTGGACATACCTACATTCTTCTTTAACCCAATGAAATGGTGATTTCACTTAAAAATTTTCAAGTTATAATGGTTTTGGTATCTTTGAACATTTTAGAAAGGAAGCTTCTAAGCAGATATTAAATTATATTGTTAAACAACTTTACTTTTAGTTAATACTGTTTGAATTCAAGCTGGCCTTTGGTATTAATTACTGTTCTCTTATAGTTCAAATTTTTTGTTTACGAAATTAATAGTAGTTTGTACCAAAAGACTAAAAGAGGTGACAAGACTTGCCCATCAGTTCAAGCGTTTTCTTTTCATTTGTATCTGTCTAGCACAATGATCTCTGGTATACAGCATCCGTTCACTCAAGAGAAGATTGAGCTTACGATTTTATGAGTCTCTTTTTCAAAGTTATAAACTTGAAATCATTAATTTTTTTTCCTTTATGTTGTACTTGTGTAAAATAAAATAGCACTTTAAGGAACAAAGGATTCCGTGTATCTTTAAAATGGCAACCGGGTACAGGGAGTTCCCTAGTCGGTTTAGTCTAATTTAAGCAAAAATACAATATTTTTTTAGCACGCTCTTAGAACTTTTGTCATTCTGTTGTAATTGTGTTAAAGTTTAATGTTTTGCCATTGTAGAGACAATAATGGATGGGGGCGCTGTGCTGTCCATGATGGTTTTCATTGCATGTAAGCGACATGTTTGCACGTGGCCGCCGACTTCCGGCAGCCATCAATATAACATTGACATGCATGACAGGGCAAATGATTGTTGTTGCTTATATTTAGACATTCAGCCATTTGAATTTTTCGTGGGTGGGCTGTAAAAACAGTCAGCCTTTTAAATGCCCGCTCTAGTCAGCCCTTACGATAACATGGTTATTTTTTCACAATTTATGTATGCTTCGCGAAATAAATATTTTCTTTCTGTAGTGCATGCATGAACAATTACAAACAGTTTGAATAATTGATTGTTTTGAGTGAGTCATGAGCGTCAATTAGCAGCAGCTTTACCGCAAGCCATCAGCGGGAATTGGATAATTCATTGAAATTTACATACAACTCATATTATGTGCAAATTATGTGTATACAATTTGTTTTTTGGGCTTTGCTCTCGGAAGTTTGCGGATAATGATGTTGTTGGAATGAAATAACATTTTAAATAGTAGGTCTCCAGGCTTACAACCGCCCAGTGCAAAGAATTGCTCATTAAATAAAGTTTCATTCAACACTGCTACTAAAAATCTAGAGTTATCATTTCTTTTCAACAGACACCGATATGAGAGTAGAAACAAATAAATAGGGCTTTAAATGCTATACGTATTAGTTGAGTAAAGCTATCAGTTGTAGGTAAATCTAAATTTAAATTGAGTTTCTTTAAAAGAAATTTATATTAAGGATATATGTACTACAACAGGACGATTACTGACAAAGTGTTGTAAAAGAAACAGTAATCAGTGGACACGTCTAATTGATAACTCTGTGACGTCTCACAGCAGCAGTTAAAAACACGCACATACTAGTATGTATAGTATAAGTATACCTGTAACATATAGCTTCTTGTTTCCCCTTGTTGTGTTTTATTTCAAAGTCAAGTATCATAATATATTTTCCAATTGAATTGCCTTAGCTTCAAGCATTTTCCGATTACGTAAAAGTTAGAGAAGACCCTTGGAAACTTCACCAATGAATAAACGGCCAAAGCTACGCACAAGGTGTATAGATGTATTTGTATTACAAGTATGTATGAACACAGCATGGCCAATTAGAGCGGTGCTCGAAAGGCCTGCGGGCCTTGGGTCGCAGCATCAGCATAAAGGAGAGCAAGGAAAGCTGGGTTGGCTTTCATTAGGAGGGTGTTCGTTTCCCTTCCGTTGCCATTTTTGACATTACTGAGAAATGCGCTTGACATTTACTTGCTGCCTTATTTATAGGCATGTTTTTTGAACAAACAAACAGCAGTTACAACAACAGCAACAGCAATAACATGTTTTTGTGGAGGAACTTTAGCTAAAATCATTTTTGGCGTTTGCCTTATTTAATTGTCATGTCAAATGCAGATTATGATATCCCTCAAGCGGAAGCGCTTAGTTGTTGTCGTCACTTTGCATTTTTTGTGACTTGATCACACAATTATACTCACTTGTAGGATCAAAGCCGGTTATGAAGTCCGGACAACGTTCGTAGGCGGATTTACCAGCCATGGTATCTGGCCAACAGAGCCAGCCATCGAAGGTGCCGGCACAATATTTTCCTGCAAGTTATATTGGTTGAGTGTGCTGTTAATCCGTGAATTTTTTTGCATTTCCTTACCTCCTACCAAATTATTGCTACTGCTGTTTAAACGTGCATAGCAGGCAGCGCGCAAGGAATCAAAATCTGGACCGCTTTCAGCTACGCTCTCGGCAGCCGTTGTGCTGCTGTTTCGTTGCTCACTCATCGTTGGGGCTTTCAGCTGAAGTTGCTATCCTCGCCAGCTGCATTCAAAATGTCTGCATGTGTTGGTGGTTAAGCGACGTGATTTTTATTGGTTTGTAGTAGCTGAAAAGCACAAAAATTAATATTGTTATCTTTTTGTAACTTTTTTTTTATGGGATTAAAGCGCTATTGTGTATAACATTTTGGAAAAACACTTTAATATTTATTGTAATTGCTTTTATGCTGGTTTTCGTATTGGGTCTTTGTACGAGTATGTGGGTCTTGTATGTATATTGTGTTGCCAGCCTTCCATTTCATTGCACTTCATATGTGAACGTTTGTATGTATATATTTTGTATTACATAGTTCGCTAGAGCCGAAATATAATTGGTTTCACACAAAGCCGTCGGCACACATATGGACACACGCTCTGGCAAATTGTCATGCATGTACATGCATGCATACGGACATACATATACATATGTGTAGTTATTTTATTTCCATGTACTTACTACAACTATTTCAATTTACGAGAGCAGACTAACAAATTAAAGGGAACGCCCAAAAGTATGCACCAGTTTTTATAGCATTAAAATGCTAGCAGTTTATAGAGATGGGCAAGAGTCGTGACCGTGAGCGGTAGTGGAAGACATTAAAGAAATCTAATATTTTTATTTTTTTTTTTTTTTTTTTTTTTTTTTTTTTTTTTTTTTTTTTTACATATATACAATTTATTAAACTAGTTTTCTACTACCAATATGGCAGCTTAAGCTAGTTGAAAGTTAGGGAATACAAAAGTTGTCTATAGTAAGCATCTATAGGACGCACTTATATCTATGTACATATATACAATATTTACAATGTTTTACATGAAAAATGATTATATTTTATGATATATACTATGTATTTTATACAAGGGCTCTTGTGGGGAGATCCTTTGGATGGCACTTCTTCAGTCTTCTCTTCTTAGGTTTGGACAGGAGCCGCCTCGCTAGTGCGTTGGGGTGACTGCCGAGTCGCTTCTCGTAATTGCTTGCGTGCATTTGAATGACATCGCCAACCTTGGGGACACATAAGTCTCTTTCGATGTCCCTAGTGCGCATATACCAGGGAGCGTTGCATATTTTTCTAAGTATTTTAGCTTGCGCAACTCTTATTTTGTTTAGGTTTGAAGCAGCGGCAATGCCATAAATTGGTAGCGCATACTTCCATATTGGACTTAATATGGACTTGTATACTGTCACCTTACTGTGCAGGGACAGCTTGTTGCATGGTGCAAGCAGCCATGCCATCTTTCCGGCTTTCGCCATGACCGATCGCTTCACCATTGTTGTATGCTTGCTGAAGTTGAGTCTTCTGTCCAGAATTACACCAAGATATTTGTGCGAATTTGTATGACTGAGCGTGGACCCCAACATTGTGATATCTCCGCATGACGACGGCCTTGTTGTAAATGTGACATTCGCACACTTGCTGGCGTTGATACCAATGTTCCAATTCAGAGCCCACTTCTCGAAACTACTTACATACTGCTGTAAGGCTTCCGAAGCTACATCGATATCTCTGCTTCTGGTAAGCACCGCAGTGTCGTCTGCGTAAGTAGCTATTAGTGCGTCATCCTCGTCTACTCCAATGATCTCTTGCGGTGCAGGCATATCAGCAGTAAATAATGTATACAGGGTAGGACCGAGAACACTGCCTTGGGGCACCCCTGCACAAATTGAGCGCCTCGTGGATTTCACTCCATCAACAGCAACTCTGAAGCTTCTGTCCCTTAGAAAGCTTTCGATGAGTTGAAACAATTGAGGAGTTAGCATGCCTTTCAATTTGCAGAGGAGACCATCATGCCACACTCTATCAAAAGCTTGTTTAATATCCATAAACACAGCCACTGAGTACATCTTTTGCTCCATGGCTTCCAGGGCGAAGTTGACCACACGGTGGAGCTGTTCCGGTGTTCCGTGACTTCTTCGAAAACCAAATTGCCATTTTGGAATTCTGCGCGTCACGGCTTCGAGCTGGAGAATCCGGTCCAGAATCACGCGTTCCATCATCTTCCCGAGGGCAGGTAGCAGACTAATCGGCCTATATCCATCTACTTCAGTATGCTGTTTCTCTGGCTTTGGAATCATCGTAATTAGCGCCATTTTCCAGCAGTTTGGAAAGTGCCTCAGCCTGAGTATGTTATTCATGAGCAAGACAATATACAGCAGAGCCCTTGTGGGGAGCAGTTTCAGCGTCCTGTTGTCTAAAAGGTCTTCTCCAGGCGCTTTTTTTACCTTTAGATTTTTTATCTGCTGTACCACTTCTTGAAGTGTAACTGGGCTTGCAGGCAAGGCCATTTGGAATGGCATCTCCAGCCTAAGCTCGACTACCCTTCGCCTATCTGCTGTTGTAAAGTCAAAAGGCTTAAATCTTTCCTCTAGGCTGTTTGCAAAGATTTCAGCTTTCTGCTGACTGGAGTAGCTCCATCCACCTGTAGGATCCTTAATTGGAGTCTTAGGGATGACCAGCCTCTTAAATCGCCTCGTAAGCTTCCAGAGCGAGTAATTAAATGATGCATCTGGACCAGCACTTTCCAATATGTCATCAATTCTGCCTTGTCTGATTTTAGCAAGCTCTTTTTGCAGTCGATTGGACAGTCTTTTGTAGATTTGATGAATGCGAGTATCTCCAGTTCTTGCATATTCTTTCCTGACTCTTCTTTTCAGGCTTAAGAGCGCAGCAGCCGTTGGTGGTAGACTAGCTTGACTATGTTGGGTTGGCAAGCGTAAAGTTTTCGGTGCAGCAGAAGACGCAGCCAGTGAAATGTTCTTCATGAGGATTGATATCGCGTCTTCGATATCCTCTGGGCTGTTAATTTCGACGTTCAGGTTAATTCTTCTTTCGAGATCGGCTTTAAAAACATCAATACGGGAGCCAGGTGGTAGAATATATTCCCTCTTGGGATTATATTGCGGTGCATGATGTAGCGTCGCTACTACTGGAAGGTGATCCGATGCGAGCTCATATTTTGTTTCAACGGTGAGTCTGTTTAGGGCAATCCTGTTGACAATAAAGAAGTCTAGTGCAGAGGGGTTAAGTCGTGTGTTGTAAGAGTAGAAAGTTGGCTCTCCAGTAGCAAGAACTTGGCAAGTAGTACTAGCTATGGCCTCTTGCAAACACCTTCCTCGCCTGCAAGATCTGGAATTACCCCACCATTGGTGTTTTGCATTAAAATCACCGCCTACAATAAACTTATCTCCTAAGGTTGCAAGCAATAGATCAAAGTCGGCCCTGCACCAAGCTTCATTGGGAGGAAGATATAGGGAGGAGACTTTGATGCTTCCACCATTCGTCGGTATAGTTACGCTGGCCGCTTGGATGCTTGTTTTTAGAATTGGCTCATTCTGTGAATGAGCGATACTTGATCTAATGATGACTGCAGAACCACTTTTAGCGGTGCCACTAGGATGATTAGCGTAGTACTGGTCGTATCCTGGCAAATATGCGTTCAAGCCAGGACGCATATGCGTTTCGGTTATTAACATGATATCGATCGAGTTTGAACTTAGGAAAAGCCTGAGTTCATCATTGTTTTTGACCAGGCCCCGTGCGTTCCATAATCCGATTTTTAACAGCGGATTTAACATTTGGATATTAGTTTTTGTACCAAGTCACGGAAGGCTCTATTGGAATCCATATTTTCCTGTATGAGCTTATACATTTGATCCATTCTTGCGTTTAGATCTAAAATCGCCTTTTCCAGCATACTAAATTTGTTGTTTAGATGCCAATCTTCGGCGGAACTGTGTGATCGGGGCGAGTTTTGGTTTGTTGGCGCGCTGGTACGTTTTTCTCCAATTGGCCTAGCTGCATCAGCATAAGAGAAGCCACTCTTAACAGTAGAGTTTGAGATAAACTGTACTTTAGTGCCTTGGTTATTTGGGTAACTCCTATTGCTACCGATAACTAGTCCATCTTTCGGCAACCTCACAGCTGGCTTAAGTTTTTTGGCTAGATCAATTCTTACCTTGCAGCCTCTGAAGCTCGACATGTGGTCTTCGCCGCAATTAGCGCATATAAATTCCCCATTATCATTCAGGTTACATGATTTTGAGCCAGTATCATGGTCCCCCGAGCATTTACCGCAAACCGGCTTTTTAAGGCAATAGTTCCTCGTGTGCCCGAAATCTTGGCATCTGAAGCATTGTACCAGCTCTTTACTCTGTTTGGCCTTTGATATTGTAACCCTGTGTCTACCAATTTGAGTTATTTTTAGTGCCTCAGCAACGTTGGGTGCGTTCTGGAGGTTAACGTAAAACATATTTTGTCTTGTTTTAACATTATTTATGTCCTCACCATCCTCCTCATTAATTTGAATGTTACGCCAGTCCGGTTTTCTGGGGCAATATATATTCAAAACTGTAAAGCCCTTGTCGGTAAAGGTGCGCTCTATTAATTGCCTGGGTACATTGGGATGAATATCTCTGAGCACCAATCTGCAGGGTTTGTTCTCCTTCAACTGGTGGTGCCAGAATTGACAATTTTGATTGGACAATAATTTGATTATTGCACGAAACGCATTCGAATTCTTCGTATAAATACGCGAGATCCCAGATTTCGATGTGCGTATGTCGTAATCGTTAGGGGAGACAGCAGAATTGAGCGCCACCTCCAGCTTATCCAATTTGTTGACTTGTGGCACACATATAGCAGGAGGCTTAGGAATACTACTTCCCTGCTGGAAACGGCTGGCTTCATTTTGCTGGCTCGATGGATCTTCGGAATCTGGCTCTTCCATTTCCATAATGGAATCAGCTTCTTCCGAAAGGGCTGCAAATCTATTATTTTGAAGCGCTGGCGGAGAGGAGGACGCAGTTCGTTGTCCCTGGGTTGTATTGACAGGAGTTGGCTTATTTTTTTGAGCCGATTTTAGTGACTCGACGGCTCCTTTCCGCTTCCTATTAATACCGGGTACTGGCATTTGAAACGAGCAAAATTTGTCCAGAGTTGGATTTGCAACTAAGTTTGTCATTGAAGCCGGTGTACTCACAACGGCGGGTGTGGAGCACAAACTGCCATTTGATGTCGCTACTGTAGTATACATTGATTGAGAGTTCACCACAGAAAATGTTAGGGTA